AAATAGGCTATTGTACTATTTTGGAGTCATGTACGAGCGAGTACTCCATAGACAGATTTCGTGTGTTAATTTTCTATGCACAACCGGTTGAACTATAACCCTACTTGTATAAAGTATGAATTTAGGTTATACATTTTACTAGGAAATTAGGAATTATATATTTGTACTTTAGAAATATATAGGTAAAATTAGCATTAAAAGGAAGGTACACCGTACAACCTGATATACTATATAAAACCATTTTGTTTATGTTATTTTTACTTTTCAATATAATTACAATAATTCAAAAAAAAAAAAGTTCTGTCAAGAGTTATCTACTCGTAAAGCAAGTTTTAATAAAATTTATTAAGTTTAAATAAGTATAAATCAAATCAATGGAGTATATCATAGTTTCCTGATCTTACTAAAACCAATGGATGACACGTTATTCTGGATTCAATTCAACAAAACTGTGAGACTGTCTACAAGTAAGAGCACTTGTTTTAAAATCCAAAGTCACATGCGGCGTGTTAGATTATAGTGCATCGTTAAAGTTGAACGCAAAAGGTCTTCAATTTCCAAGGCTAGAAAGTATGTGTACTTCCATTCATTTTTCCATTTTATCCACCTTATATATGTAGATATAAGTACATAACCTTATTTTATCCAAAATATTTCTACTCCATATAATCCTTTTTTTTTTTTTTGATAAAATATTTCTACTCAATATCTTTTCTCCCTCCGTTTTTAAATATGTAGTACTTGTTCCACTTTTTATTTTTAGTCGTTTTTAAACTCTATTTCCTTATTTGGAAAGTTTTTATAATATTTAATTCATTTCTCTCAATTAGAAGATCCAACATAAACCATATTTTATTAATTTCATTCTCTCTCCTCCAATTCTCTCAACTATTTTTGTTTTTTACAATTTTTTATTCTTCCAATAACCCCACTACTTTCCTATTTTATTATTTTATCCAGTTTCTCCTAAAACTCTACGCATGGAGAAATGGAGCAAGTATTTAAAAACAGAGGGAGTACTTTAGTTTAGAAAAAATGCATAGTACTACATATTTTGTTTTAGAAGCAATTATAAATTAAACACAGTATACGGAGTATAGATTTTCAACTAAAGTACGGTGAAGTTCAATATTTAGATTTTATTGAGGTTAGCAAGTATTTAACTACGTGATTTATACCTTATTATGTGTACAAATTGTGTATTGATGGATCTAAAAAGTGTAATTTGATAAAATCATAATCAAATTACACTTTCTATATAAAGAATTGATTTCAGATCCAAAAGATATGCTTGATAATACAAGCATTATTTTTAAATTAGGAAAGCATCTAAATTGATCTTCTTTTTACACATCACCCCTTTCAAAAAATTCTTAATTTTTTTTTATATATATATTTGGGGAGTTGAAATTAAATTAAATTAAATTAAGTCACATAAAAGATACCTTCTATGTTTATAGATTTGTAAATAAACTAGAAACGTTGTAATTTAGTGTATATAGGGTCTAAAGGTCTACATACTCCCATGTGGCGTGTTTGGTTAAAATGGTCTTTTTTTCCATAATTTGGTTACTTGGCTCCATTTTCATCTAGTCGTATTACTCGTCGTTTTATGTTTTGTTCATTAGTAGAACTTGTGTTTTTTTCCTCATCTTTCCAACTCGTGAATAGCTAGCTATCCACGAATTTGATATACAATAGTCCAATCACTAAAATGTCCTCTCTTTGCTATTATTCATGATAAATGATCGAAAGATAAGACATGGTGAGGTGTCATGCAATTTCCTCGAATTAGTTTTGTTTCGATTAGTACATTTGTAAGTGAATTCAAAGTTTACAAATATAAGATTACGAGTGGTTCTGGCATTTGTATGAATAGAATGTGATTTTGTTAACTATATAGGTTTTCAAATAGTAAAAGAAGTGTTTATCGACACTTGAGTACATGCAATACATTACAATTGAGGTCAATTTTTGAGAAACACGTTCTAACGGGTTCCATTTTATTAGATTAAGTAATAGTTACATAATCAACAAAATTTTAGATAAACATTATGGATAAAAAGTTAGTCTTTAGTGATTTATGAAGGAAAAAAGGAGTACAAACTTATAATGGAAAAAGGCTAACTAGATCGAGTATGACATGATACCAAAAATATAGAAAATAAGGCAAATTTCGAGATATGATTGTTGCTTGTTACCTAATTTGCGTTATTGGCAATTTTACAATATGACTAGGGTCCTTAATTTGATGATAATCGTGTACAAATAGCAAATAGTTGATATCCTTTCACATCTTAATAAATTATATGAAGGATAATTTAGAAAAATTGAGCAATTCAAGTACAATTAGTTGAAACTTATGTCTTAATTAAGATTAATCATACGAAAATATGGAATTGGAACATTTTCCTTATTTGTGGGACATTTCAGTATATCACAATCTTTTTTATTTTTTACATGGAGTCACATCACTATATTTTCTTTGCATATATTCTCCATTATTTTGCTTTGATTTGCATTATAGCTGTCTTCTTAACTTTTAGTCAAATTTCAGCTAGCCAATAATGTTTATATAAAATTTACAAATACCTTAATTATCTTTGTTTTTAATATCGGATCTTTCTATTTTTTTCGTTTTGATCATTTCTTAGGTGGAATATCCATACGATGTCTCCTACACTAAAGATGAACACTTTAAACGTTGGCACTACAATAACTATAATTTCACGGTAGCCATGTTCACGAGTACATTCTTGGTCAAAGCCCAAGAGAACGACCCAAATGGTCCAAACGGAAATGGTCTGTTTGGGCTATTCCTCGACGAGCCAGATGAGACTTGGACAACCAAAATCGACGAATTTGATTACATTGTCCTATCAGCGGGTCATTGGTTCTTCCGACCCCTTATGTACTACGAGAAAGGTACTCTCACAGGGTGTCGATTTTGCCAACTTCCAAACGTGACAGACTATACCATGGCTTATGGTTATCGAAAGGCATTCCATACTGCGTTTAAGGCCATTTTGGAGAGGGAAAACTTCAAGGGAGTAGTCTATTTGAGGACCTTTGCCCCCTCACATTTTGAAGGGGGGGAATGGAACAAAGGTGGCAATTGCTTGAGGCAAAAGCCTTATAAAAGTAGTGAAATTAGTTTGCAAGGGGTTGATTTGGACTTGTATATGGCCCAATTAGGAGAATTCAAAGTGGCCCAAAAATTGGGCCGAAAACGTGGGCTAGGGTTCAGGCTTATGGATATGACACATCCCATATTGATGAGGCCCGATGGGCACCCAAGTAGGTATGGGCATTGGCCCAATGAGAATGTGACTTTATACAATGATTGTGTCCATTGGTGCTTGCCTGGGCCCATTGACACTTGGAATGATTTTCTACTTGAGATGATAAAGAGTGAAGGTGTTAGGGCTAAAGAAGATATGGTTCTTCATTCAAAGGAGAGAAAGTTGAAGAGTTAAACAATGATTTGATTAATTTTAGAATTATATATATTTATATATAGTTTAATTAATTTATGGGGTTTAAGCATGCATTTGTCAAAATATTTGTATTTGTATAGTTTGAGGGTTCCCTAATTAAGGGGTCAAATAATTGAGTTTTTCAATGTTTGATACATCATATTCATTTTTTCTACCTCTTGATGTTTTTAGCTCTAAAGTCAAAGATAGACAACTGTTATTACAAAGAGTAGTTTAGCGAAATTAAAGTACATTTTTTTCATCCGACTATAAAGCGTCTTTGATGACGAAGGATTAGAACAATGTGATATCTATTATATAATTTCATAATGTTGAGTAAGCGGCCTAAGTAATAAATTTCTATTTGCAATGAAATTAAGGTAGCAATTAATTTCATCTTCCTATAAAGAAGCGCAAAAGAGCATAGTTAATTAATTACTTTTTCTGTTTGTAACTTTTTTTTTTTTTGTAAGTTGAATATGCTTCAGTTTTAAGATTAGTAGACTTTTGAACTCTGTTTGATGTACAATTCAGATTAGTAAAGTCGGTGTTCCCAAATTTTGTAATTTGTCAGTATGCAAATGGCTAGATTTAAAGTAGTTTAAATTTGATTCTCAAATCTGAATTGAAATTAAAAACAAAAATGAATCTTTATAGCATCATTATGAGCTGGAAAATTGGAAGTACGCGGATATCCCAGAAACTTCATTCGACAATTCTATTCTTAGTAGCTCACATGTAGTGGTGTACCACAACTTTTTATATAGGAAAATATTGCCACTAATTTACCATTATTATTGGCACTGGTTGATATATTCCAAATTGGCAACTATGGAGTATGTATACGCCAACAAATGGAAATAATTGTATATTGGATCTCCTATCTTTCAACTATTACGAGACGTGTTATGTTGTTAGATTTGAACGTGGTAGTGATAAATAATCATTTAAGTTGGCTTTAGTTCAACTTAATGTGAAATAATTTAACTGATCGATGAGGTTTTGACTTAGTGGTTAAGATCTAAGTATGTATCCTAGGTTTTGGCTTAATAGTTAGAATCTAAGTATATACCCTGTATAATAAGTCATATGTATAAATCTCCTACCGCCATTTGTAAATTGCATTATTTGAAAAGAAAAAAAAAAATAATCTAAAATGATACTTCTGATTTGATTTTAAAATTAAGCAAGTCGAACTTTCAAGAACAGAGATTTATACTTTAGTCAATTAAAGCTCCACTTCAATTTGACTTAGTTGATTTCAATTACTTTAATCATCATAGTCTAATCTGAATCTGGTTAACTTCAATTACATCATAATCAAACTAGCACGTTAGTTTTTTACATCATAAACTAATCAAGTAAAAGTCAATCTAATTAATTAGATCATTTAAATATTACTCCATTAATCCGTGTTAACCAATTCCATCTCCAATAATATTCTAAATCAAGATAATTAATTAGTAACATGCTACTAATTATAAATAAACAATTATAAGGACTACTTAGCATGATACTCATTATTTTTTAAATTTTGTTGACAAAATTTAACATGCACATTCTTTCCCATCACATCAAAACTCCATAGAAACACCCAAAAAACTCAAACTTTTTCTTTCTCTCTCTCTCTCTTAAATGGAAATGCCAATACACAAAATTCCAAAACGTAATTACAAGTCTAAACTTGTTCTACAAATTTCATTACCAATAATCTTATTTACTTTAATCACATTACAATTATCCAAGAACATTTCTTTCAAGAAATCTCCTACTAATCATACTTCATTAGAGTCATTACACACTAGTAATGTTCAATTATTACAAACTTTACCTCAAAAAGAATCATTACCACCTACTAATGATGATGATCAAGTTGTGATTGAATCCAAACGATACGAAACAAGCCCTAAACCTAGCCCGGTTACAAAATGTGATCTTTTTTCGGGCGAATGGGTCCCGAATATGGAGGCTCCGTATTATACAAATTATACTTGTAGGGTGATCCAAGAACATCAAAATTGTATGAAATATGGTAGACCCGATACCGAGTTTATGAAGTGGAAATGGAAGCCAAACGGGTGTGAATTACCCGTTTTTAACCCGAATCAGTTCTTGGATATTGTTAAGGGCAAGTCTTTGGCTTTTGTTGGTGATTCTGTGGCTAGGAATCATATGCAATCTTTGATTTGCCTCTTATCTCAGGTAATTAATAATTTTTGCTTCCTACATATGAATTTTATTTTATGATTTGCTATATATAATGTTGAATTGCATAATATTAAGTATTATAACTAAAATGTGTGTACTTTTATAGAATCTACATTTTAGTTAGTATAGTAGTGTATAACATATAGTGATCAAATAAATAAGCTAAGATAAAAGTGAGAATGTAAAAGTGGAATATTAAAGTCAAAGGAGTTGTGCATTTAATTATTTAATTTTCTCATAGGGTTGTTCTTGATGATCAAATTGCCTCCATATTAAACAAAAAGTATACAGGTAAATAGAATGTTACACAAGGTTTATTAACCTACTTCATTCGAAATTAGTTATTGACTAATATGCTTAGTGTACTACTAAGTTAGATTGACATTGACCTGAAATTCACGTTCATTTAATGTTAATTTTAAGTTTAAATCACTATAAGGCAGAATAACACCTCGTTGCATCATACATTTCCACATATTGCAATATGATATACACTGATTTACAAAGAATTTCATTAGAAATGTTATTACGTCTTACATTCACACCCTGTAATTTTGTATATATGTTGGAATTTCTTGACAAAAGCAAAACAGTAGATGCAATAGTTATGGTAAAAAGACGAGGTTAGTTGAACTAACACACACTAATAAAGCATCCTAGGGGATGCATAATTAGGTAATTGTGTCAAAGTTATTTAATAATATAATGTACTATATTATATTATAATCTGATTTAATTTACTTTGTTGAGCCAAAAGAATAATGGTAACAATGTTTCAATTACGTTTGTTTGTTCAATGTTTTGTCTATTTTATTACAGGTAGAACACCCCTTGGATATTTCTCCTACAAAAGATGATAATTTTAAACGTTGGTACTTCCAATCTTCCAACTTCACACTTGCTATATTCTGGAGCCCATTCTTAGTCAAGACCCAAGAAAATGACCCAAATGGCAAAGCTGGAAAGACCTTTACTGGGCTCTACCTCGACGAGGCCAATGACGTTTGGACGACGCAAATCGATGAATTTGACTATGTTATCATATCCGCGGGGCATTGGTTTTTCCGGCCCCTTATCTATTATGAAAAGGGTAATTTTATGGGATGTCGTTATTGTGAGATAGATAATCTTACGGAATATTCCCTCTCCTATGGGTACCGAAACGCGTTTCAAACCTCGTTTCGGGCTATTTTGGAGAGGGAAAATTTTAAAGGTAAGGTGTTTTTGAGAACATTTGCTCCCTCCCACTTTGAAGGAGCAGATTGGGACCATGGAGGGGATTGCAAAAGAACAAGTCCCATAAAAAGCTATGAATTGCCTTTGGATGGACAAAATATGGAGGTGTATACAGCCCAAATGGAAGCTTTCAAGGAAGCCCAAAGTGTGGCCCAACAACGTGGGCTTAAGTTCGAACTCATTGATATGACCCGGCTCATGTTGGTGAGGCCCGATGGGCACCCGAGTGTATATGGCCGTCCGGCTAAGATGAATGGGATATGGCCCAGTGATTGTGTCCATTGGTGCTTACCTGGGCCCATTGATAGTTGGAATGATTTTTTGCTTGAGATGTTAAAAAGTGAAGAGAAGAATCTTCATTAGGATTAGATTAAAAAGGGGTTATATACTGTTAATCATGATGCATGAAGAAGTTTAACAATTGGTATAATTTATTTAATTGTATAAAAAAGGACCAATATGTTCAAAAGAGGTTGATACGTGATCAATTAATCATACAAGATTCATTTTTCTTTTCTCCATTTTGTTGCACTACAATCTATTTGTTACAAATGAGGTTACATCGTAGAGGAATTGATTTGTTACAAGATAATTATTTTTTCCTTCCAAAATGTTGATATAAACTCTTTTTTTTTTTTTTTTTTTTTTTTTTTATGTTTTATTTCCTTTTCACATTTTCTAATATTGACCATTTTCTTTTTTCTGTTTTGAATTATGGTTATAATTATTCTGTAAGGAGAGATATCTCAATAACGAGTCTTTGTTTTATTTTCTTTTCAAAACTAATATCCGTATGAACCATTTGCATTTGCTTCACTTTGTCCCCTTTCACTATCACTATCATAGTATCAAAAAAAGTAAAATCTACTGCCACATGTCAGATTATTAAGGGTGTACTGAATACATCACAGATAAGAGCTAATTAAACCACTCACCAAAAAAAAAAAAAAAAAAGAAAAAAGAAAAAAATACTTCGCATAAATATATAAAAAGGGGAACTAAATCACAAAACTTTCTTAAAAAAAAAAAATCATGGAACAAATACACTTAACCAAAACTCAATATCGAAGCTTCAACAAAAAAGTAGTTTTCCAAATAATACTTCCAATAATTCTTTTTACAATAATAGCTTTACAATTAGTCAAAAATATATCAATCAAAACACCTCCAAATCCAATTATTTCAACTTCATACATAAACAATGAAGAACAAAGAGCTCCACCGACAGAAAGTGATACAAGTATTCAAAAATGTGATCTTTATTCGGGTGATTGGATCCCAAATATGGATGCTCCATATTATACAAATGAAACTTGTTGGGTGATTCAAGAACATCAAAATTGTATGAAGTATGGTAGACCCGATACCGAGTTTATGAAGTGGAGGTGGAAGCCTAATGATTGTGAGTTACCCGTTTTTGACCCGATTAAGTTTTTTGAGATTGTTAGGAATAAGTCTATGGCTTTTGTTGGTGATTCTGTTGCTAGGAATCAAATGCAATCCTTGATCTGCCTCTTGTCTCGGGTAAGTTTTGCTCTTGCTCGTGCTCGTTTTTTGTTTTATGATATCGAAAGGATTCGTAGTAGATGTCAGCTAGTTTAGTTTGAATCGAACTCGTTTAGAATTCTTTGTTTGAATTCATATGTTCTTGATGTATTTTTGTCGATGTTAGCTAGTTTAATTGGTTAATTGGAAGATTAGTAATTTTGTATTGTTGATTTAATAATTCGAGTATTAGAATACATTGCCGACAGTGTAATCAGTGACAAACTATACTTAGACTATTTAAATGATACTGAGGATACTTTTTCTTTTTTACCACTTTACTGTCTTAATAATGTCTCAATTATTTATTTTATACTCCAGTTTGACTGCCAGTAACAGACATTCAATGATCACATACTCACATTGGTAAAGTTATTTGATAGTGTAACATAGATGACATCAAAGTATAATACCTTTTCTTTAGATTACATTGATCATGTATATCCATAACAACTAATTTTAAACGAATGGAGTACTTGATTGTCATTTATGCTTATAGTAACATTAGATTTAGATTTAGATTTTTGTTATACGAGAAATAATCGAGCTAACAACCCAGATCATCGTTCGGGATATAGACATTATCAATCAATGGAATGTTTTACACAAGTGAAAATCATAAAGGGTTTTGACAAATTGAATCATATTAGTGGTATAAGTTGGGTAAGAGTGTCATAATCAGGTAATAAAGAATAGATCATGTAATGTTGGTGACAATGGTGCATGTAATGTTGTGCAGTTGCACATTTTATTTCACTGTCAGACTGACAGCAAGAATCCTCATTAATCATGTGTTTCTTCACCCACCACTCTTATTTTTTTTTTTTTTTTTTTTTTTTTTGAGAAAACCACTCTTTATCTATTGATAGTTTATTGAGTAATTGTTAATTTTGAGAAATTATAAAAATTATACTCCGTACCTAATTCAATTTTCTTGTATTTATTTATTTAAATCTAAATTTTACAGGTTGAACACCCCTTAGATGTCTCAACTAGCAAAGATGATAATTTCAAACGCTGGTACTATCAATCGTACAACTTCACATTAGTTATATTATGGAGTCCATACCTTGTGAAAACAATCGAAAATGATCCCAATGGTCGAACAGGAAAGACCTTCTGGGGACTTCATCTCGACGAGGCTGATGATGTATGGAAGGATGAAATTGACAAGTATGATTATGTTATCGTATCTGCAGGACAATGGTTCTTCCGACCTCTTATATACTACGAAAAAGGACAATTTATGGGTTGTCGTTACTGTGAGATCGATAACCTAACGGAGTATTCCCTTTCATTTGGGTTCCGGAATGCGTTTCGGACAGCATTCAAGGCCATTTTGGAGAGGGAAAGTTTTAAGGGCAAAGTGTACATGAGGACTTTTGTTCCCGGTCACTTTGAAGGGGGTGAGTGGGACCATGGAGGAGATTGCTTGAGGAAAAGGCCCTATAAGAGCAATGAGGTCAAGTTAGAAGGGGAAACTTTGGAGCTGTACACGGCCCAAATGGAGGAGTTCAGGGAGGGCCAAAGATTGGCGCAGCAGCGTGGGCTGAGTTTACAACTCCTTGATATGACCCAGATTATGTTGTTGCGGCCTGATGGACATCCGAGTACGTACGGGCGTCCGGCCAATCTGACCTGGCCCAGTGATTGTGTCCACTGGTGCTTGCCAGGGCCAATTGACAGTTGGAGTGATTTCCTGCTTAAGATGCTAGACTGAAGGGATGATATTCAGCAGAAAATGAGGGAAATTGTGTTTTTATTACTCAAGGACTCAAGGTTTTGACAGTTGCTAGAATATTTTTTAGGGAAAATTTGTTAAGGTCAGAGTTCAAGTAATACTATGTATTATAACTATCAATATCATTACATAGGTGATAATACAAATCAGGCATTTTACTCATACATGGTTTCACTATTTGTCATTTATTCTATGCACAATGTTGATTCTCATATTAAAACTCAAAACTCCTAAAAACAGCATTCTCAAATGAATGATATTCTGATGAAGACTATTATGTGCAGCAAAAAGACATAAAGCACAAAGGAAGACCTTAAAATCCTGAGCCTTTGCCGGTATTCAGAACGACCACCAGAGTAATACGGGAGGTTGTTGTGACCATCGAGGTCAGTGTCAGTTTCATAACCATAGATTGGGCCACTTTTTGCAAAGCGGTTCCTAGCAGCAGTAGCTTCCTTGGTATCCTCAACTCTCCTCCACAATGCGTTCAATCTTTCAAGCTCCTTCTCCTTGATGTGTATCTCATTTATAAGAGCCTCTGCTTGAGCCTAGAAAAACACTTAGATCAGACATCAACAAGACTCTCGAATAATGTGGTTAGGTATAGCAATTACTTTCAATACAAGTAGAACAGTAGGAACGTCAAAGACGTGGTTTTTTTTTTTTTTTTTTTTTTTTTTTTTTGTTCTCAAATAATATATCAAAATTAATGCCTCAGCTTTTAACAGACAACTAACCTGCTTTGCAGCCAGTTGCTCCATCAAGCTATGAAGCTGCTTGTCCAATGCCTTTTCTCTCTGAGCTGTAGAAGATCAATTTCACCAAACTGTGAGGTACTCAAGGATATGTCGATAGCAAAAACTTAATAATAACAAGTATGTATTTTTATTAAGCTAAGATAAAACCTTTAAGCACTAGCTTTAAAACCTAGGAGAAAATGTTACACAGACAGATAACTCTTGTAGCTGGCTATCTGCTTAAAGAGTTATAGTTTTAAACTTTTAATGTACAGACCTGGTGAAGGTTGCTTAAGTGCCTTTTCTTGAACATCTGCCCACTTCTTCTCCAACATTTGAATCTTCTCTTCCATTAATTGCTGTAAGAATTATGAAGAGGGGAAAATAGGAAATTAATATAACAGTCAAATGAACATGCAGGAAGTGAACATAAAACTGCAATTTGAATCCTTTGTCCTTTCTTCCATCAAATAAAAAAATGCTTGCCTTATTCAACCCTTTCTGCAACTTTGATCTCTACATTCTAATTTTAATGGTATTAGTGTTTAGCATATCGGAAGAAGAAGCAAGCATTACCATTTCTTTCTTCTGGTTCTCCAATTTCTCAAGTAAAGCAGTTCGGGAAGCATCTTCTTCAGCTTCAGTATCCACTTCTTTTCCATGTTGAACAGCAGATTTCTCAGACTGACTGGCACTTGAACCTGCTTGAACTCTTTGCAACTCAGTTTTCAGATTTTCCTCAATCGAGTCCAACTCCTGTCATAACAGCATAAGGAAAGGATTTAGCAAATAATTTGGCCAATGTGGAAAGCAGCAGATATGGCTTAAGACTAGTTTGGGTAAACCTTAACTTTGATAAGAATACCGAACTTTAGACCAATGACCAACTCCAAACTAATTGGAAGAATTTGTATCTTCCAAGAAGGACAGCTTTCCTCTGATATTAAATATGAACACATGATTATCTTAATCCTATTGTGACTCTAATTTTAACAGATTGATGGGAATAACATGAAACTAGTTATCGGAAAATTTTACTATTTCAGTCAAGCTATGGTAAATGAAGCTAATTCTCCACACCATGTGCTTGCTCACTACCCTAAACAATAGCGTGGGCTGTGACAGAGGTCAGATAAAGACTCTCTCTCTCTTGACTTGTTTCCACATTAAGCAATATGTATAAAACCATATACTTGAATAATCAAGCCTACCTTCAACTTCTGCTGGAAATGTTCTGCCTCCTGCAACTTCTCTTGAATCTTAGCTTCACATTTTGTGATTTCTCTTTCATAAGCAGCATTTTCTTCCAGCAATTTAGCCTCCCTTTGTTGTGCCTGATCAGCAAAGTCAATCACAAAATGAAGCCATGAAGAAAGCTTCCACCATTACCCATAATCCTTTCATGAAACTTTTCCACAAATTACTGGTCATAAGTCATATTTGTCTTTTCGGATATCACATCCCTGATTTAGCAAACAGGAAATCACCATCAAAGACATTTAGTCACTGTAAAGAAATACCCCCCGATTCCAATAACAAAGATGGATCAGATTATCAAGAAGTGTATTAGTGTTCAAATAGAGAAGGGATGATATGGTACCCCATATATCCTTTAATTTCCTTCATCAAGCAAATCAACTCAATAGTCTCAATTCAGGAGCTCAATAAGGGGAAAAATAAGTTCAAATCAAACCTATGATCACAAAAATGCCAACACGGATCAGACACACAAGCAGAATGCATGAATTATTAGAATATCTAAACAATGCCTATCAAATCGAATTATTTGTATCTTAAAGCTCCAAAATCCTAGAAGCTGGAATGAGCAATTGCGGCAAAGCAGCACATCATAAACTATCAAATCAAAATGTATTAAAAAGAGTGTAATGTTTTGGTTCTATACAATAAATTCATGGTTTTAGGTGAGAAGAACACAGCCAAAGCATCAAGATGCGAAATACTGACTCAATCGGCCAAATGACCTTAATCCCCAACATTGAATCAACCATAGCCTTACTCACTAGGAAAAATTCAGACATAAAAACCAGTCATCAATATGGTCATCTAATGCAGCACTGAAAAGGGTAAAATTAAAATAACAGTAAAAGATTGCAGTAATCCATGGAAAGTTCAGATACAAAGATGATCAAATCATCAACACTCCAACGTCTGAATAGCAGATCAGAAAGTTTATAAATTTGCAACAAAACTCACATTCCCAGAAACCCACGATAACAATTATAAGCGCAATTACCACAAATCACCGAAAAAATTAAAATGGGCACGACAATTAAACTAAACCCCTAGGAAAAAAAAATCAAAATTTCCCACGAAAAAATACAATTAACAACCAAAAATAAAATACCCAGAAATAAAATCAAACAATTAGCCCAAAAACAAGCACCCCCATACAAAAATTAAGCAATACAATACAACAATTTCAAATTATCAAAAAACAAAGGGAAAAGTCGAAGAAATTACCTGCTCCCGAGTGGAAGAATGGGAGTTTAATTGAAGAGTAAGAGCAGCATTAGAAGCGAGGGAATGAGCATGAAGATGAGGAAGACGTTGAGCGATGTCAGAGGGAGGGAGTCTTAGCCGTAGATCTTGGATCGAACGAGTGAGAGAAGCTGATTTCTGGTTCAATTCATTGAGATATTGCTGTTGTTGAGGGGTTAGAATGAGAGGAATCGAACTCGGGTCGTCGGAAACATCGGAACCACTTTCATTCGCGCCTACTACATCGGCTGCCCACGCTAGCAGCCCCGCCATCTCTGTGTTTCTCTCTCTTTCTCTTTCAGGATGTTGTATTGTTGGTGAAATTCAGTGACAGTTGAGTTTGTTGTTAGGATCTGGGTTTCTTTTGGTCCGATCTTCCAAGCTATGTGGTTTAGCCACTATGTAATTAGACCATTTTCGACTTGAGTTCCTCAACTCAATATGACCCATACTCCGTACTATATGGGTTAATCAGCAATCGGTATGTTTTATTCTTCTTACAAAATATTATACATGTAGTATCGTACTCATAATATATTACAATGCTACATCATACTTTCTTCGTTTATTTTTAAACTCAATGTTTAACAACAAAGTTGATCAATTTGTGAAATTGTGAATGCTCAGACTTTGGTCCTTTGGCCATTGGAAACTAGGATGACTTAATACATCAATTGTTTTCATACTTATAAGAACATGGTCAGCCATTAAAAAATTATTCTTTCATATAACTACAATTTCGTACTTATGCAAGTATGAAAACAATTTACGAGTATGTATTAAGTCATCCTAGTTGCCAATGGCCACAAGGACTAAAGTTTAAGCATTGACAATTTGGCATTGGCATAAAATAATGGTTGAAAAACAAACCAAAGGGCAATGGATTATCAATTACGTATACTTAGTCAGAAGGGTTTCCTACATCAAATGTTGGAATATTTCCAAGAAGTTTCACCTTGGGTTCTTATCATTTTATACAATTTTTTATGTTTATTTATTTATATACTTTGTATTAATTAATGTAAAGAGGGGCACAATAATAAGTATCATAAAATTAACGAGATTTAAATTTGGATAACATACACTCAGGCTTTGTTTGGTTGACAAACAACTTCATGGGAAGTTTGATTTTGTAGGAAATGAATGTACGCGTACTTGTTTGGTTGACAATAATGTAGGAATAGGAAGTTCCAATTCCCACAAAATGAAGGAATTTACTTACCTAATCCCCTCTAGGTAAGTGAAACTTCCCATGAAAAGTGGAAATTCCTACATCCAACCAAACAATTTTTGAAAATTCCTAGAAATTACAATTTCATAGGAATGACAGATATGACAATAATTTGCGCTCATGACATTTCATAACTTGAATTGTATTTCACACATCAACTATAATTTGGATTTCTTTATTGTGAAATTTTCCTTTTTCAAAAAAATGCCTCTAAGCATTTGCAGTAACTTGACACAATTATCCTCTTTCCATTGAAAATATAAACGCTACCTCCTTAGGTTCTCCCTACTTCACTAGCTTTGTTGCTCAATAGCTCAACAATGAAGACCACAACCACACACCCATTGCCGCATTGCTACATCAACTAATCCACCAACACAACCACTAAAACTAACTACCCTTCACCATCAACCACCACTACATACTGGCAATCCCTCTCTCACACAAATCTCTATCCATCTCCCTAATGATGATAGACCTTCATTACTTCGCTAGCCACCTCCAACCTTCTTCCATTCCGACAACTACCTGTAAGGCTGTAACCCTTTTTCTAGTGTTTTTTTTTTTTTTTTTGAAAACAACCCTTTTCTGGTGGTTGAATATAGCTCAAACGTACATTTGTTTAAATTATTAATAGCAACACAAATATTAATTTTGAAGAGAGAATTGCTAAATTTATATAAACTATTACCTTAAACCTAATGTAAAAGCCCAATGGTAAGTCATCATATGAATCCTATGCTAAATGTCAACCTTAACCATACTACAAGAATATCCAATCCCTTAACATTGCTTCCAAGGTATTTCACTTTCTCCCACCATCCCTTGCTTCACACTTTCAAACTCTCAAAAGTAAAACACCCTTTACATGATTCCACAAATACACACACATATCACATCAACATTCCCATAATCAAACTCTATCATTCTCCCCACATACCTTGGAATCCAACCTTCTTTCAATCATGCCATTTTCATTCTCTTCTTCCACCCCTACAATACAAGGTTAGAAACTCCCCTCAATTGTTGGATCAACTTCCCATTTTTCCTCTCTTACTAATTAAGTACTAGCTAATCATTTACTTTGTACTTTTTATCGATAATTAGAAGACGTCCTGTCAGACCGAAACCTATAAACAATTCCCACATGGTACTTAAGAAAGCTTCAAGGAAGATAAAATCAATGATCACCAAACCCTTTAAAAACCCCCCAAAATCATCATTTTCATTTGCACCACCTCCCTTTTTCTTTCCTCCCCAACAACCCGTACAACCATCATCATCTTCAACAATGGCGATTTTTCACAGAAATCAACCATTTCTATTCCCAAAAACAGAGTCCTCTGTTCTTCCAGACCCTTCCACTTTCTTCTCCCCTGAACTTCTCTCATCCCCTCTTCCCACAAACTCTTTCTTCCAAAACTTCGTCCTCAAAAATGGCGATCAACCTGAATACATCCACCCTTACCTCATTCGTCTTTCTCTCTCCTCACTTTCTCTCTCATACCCTTCTCGATTCGCCAACAATTCCTTCCTTTACCAGGTTTTCAACGCAGATTTCACAATCTCTGCAGAAAATAATCCAGATTCAAATACCCCACATAAAATTTCATCGTTTAGTGATCTTAGTGTAACTGTTGATTTCGTCTCTTCAAATCTCCGTTTCTTTCTTGTTCGAGGTAGCCCTTTTGTTACTTGTTCTGTTTCAGGAGGTATATCTCTTAAATTCTCCACAATTCATGCGATTTTATCGTTTAATTCGTATAATTCTAACACTAAGTTTATTGTTAAGCTTAATAATAATCAAACTTGGGTGATTTACTCTTCTTCACCAATTAACCTAACCCATGATTTGTCTAATATTGTTTCTGACTCGTTTTCGGGTATAATCCGGTTTGCGGCTTTACCCGATTCGAACCCGAAATTCGAGTCGATTCTTGATAAATTTAGCTCTTGTTATCCTGTTAGTGGTGATGCTGTGTTGAATGAACCATTTTGTGTGAATTATAGATGGGAAAAAAGAGGGAGGGGTGATTTGTTAATGCTTGCTCATCCTTTGCATCTTAAGTTGTTAAATAGGGATAATGTTGTTGTTTTGGATGATTTGAAGTATAAGAGTATTGATGGAGATCTTGTTGGTGTTGTTGGGGATTCATGGTTGATGAGGACTCAACCGGTGTCGGTTACTTGGCATTCGATTAAGGGTGTTAAGGAGGAGTCATATGATGAGATTATCTCAGCTCTTTCCAATGATGTTAGTAGTTTGAATTCGAGCTCAATTTCGACAACTTCCTCGTATTTTTATGGGAAGTTGGTTGCTCGAGCTGCTAGAATGGCTTTGATTGCTGAGGAAGTTTGTTATCCTGATGCAATTCCTGTGGTTAGGAAGTACTTGAAGGAAACAATTGAGCCTTGGTTGGATGGGACTTTTAATGGGAATGGGTTTCTGTATGATGGAAAATGGGGTGGAATGGTTACTAAACAAGGGTCAACTGATTCTGGGGCTGATTTCGGGTTTGGAATTTTTAATGATCATCATTACCATTTGGGGTACTTTATTTATGGAATTGCTGTTCTTGCTAAGATTGATCCTGCTTGGGGGAGGAAGTACAGGCCTCAGGCTTATTCAATGATGGCTGATTTTATGAGTTTGAGTAGACGAGCAAACTCACAATATACTCGTTTGAGATGTTTCGACTTGTATAAGCTGCATTCTTGGGCTGGTGGGCTGACAGAATTTGCTGATGGGAGGAATCAGGAAAGCACAAGTGAGGCAGTGAATGCCTACTATTCTGCAGCTTTGATGGGGTTGGCTTATGGTGATGCCCATCTTGTTTCTGTTGGTTCATCTCTTGTAGCAATGGAGATGCAAGCAGCGCAAACATGGTGGCATGTAAGAGAAGGAGAGGGAATATATGAGGACATCTTTTGCAATGAGAATAAGGTGGTGGGTGTTCTGTGGGCTAATAAAAGGGACAGCGGACTTTGGTTTGCACCACCCGCATGGAAGGAATGTAGACTCGGAATTCAAGTCCTTCCAATATTGCCTATTACCGAGGCTTTGTTTCCTGATGTGAGCTTTGTGAAAGATCTTGTGAACTGGACATTGCCAGCTTTGGAAAGGGACGGAGTGGGAGAAGGATGGAAGGGGTTTGTGTATACTTTGGAAGGACTATACAACAAGGAGAGTGCCCTGGAGAAAATAAGAAACTTGCAAGGTTTCGATGATGGCAACTCCCTCTCCAATCTCCTCTGGTGGATTCACAGCAGGGGTGATGATGAAGATGGGTACCTTGGAATGGGCAGTCATTGTTGGTTTGGCCACTATTATCACTAATTATGTTATATCAGGTCTGTTTAATCTGCATACCTATTAGTTATGATGGATTGCTTCATCTGTTGGTTGTGTACATCTTATATTTACTTGAGCAATGGTGATATATTAGTAGCGTAGTGTTCTGTTGAATCAATATAATGTATCATTTTAGGCTTGATCACTTGGCAAACCGTCCTTGAAACTTGTTGCCGTGTATCTGCTGAGCCTGTGAGCCATTTGCAGTTTCTTATCATCTGTGTTTTGAATGTATTATACAGTTATACACAATAGAAAATATACAAAGTTTTTACTGTATCCAATATTTGCACACTGTAATACATGTCCTGGTTTCTTACCCAGTTCACATTGTTTGCTACGGAGTAATTGATACACAAAATTTTGATGTTGATACTTTAAAATCTTTCTCATATGCTCGGCGAATATGACAATACTATGAATTTTCTTCGAGTCTGAAATGAATTTAGAATCCATACTTAAACTCTTCTCAACACAAGGAAATGAAAAATAATGAATAATAATAACAATAACAATAATATATATACTTTGTATATGACTAAAATCAAAGAGAGATCTCTTCGTAACCTAGCATTACGTGATTTGGTTAATCGTAAAGCCAAGTAGAGCAAAATCATGACAATATTCATATACATCTAGATGTACCATTCAAATAGACAACCAATGCAATTTTTTGCTTTATTTATTCATTTGTATATAACGTATGTATGGAATCGACATTGTTGTATGACTGCAGAGTTATGGACTAAAAAACTGAACAAAAAAATAATGTGAATGTAGTATCGTGTGTGTGGTACACCCAAATGTATAATAGACCACGTAAGTCAACCTAGGCCAAAACTCACAAGTCATTATACCCTGTAATTGATTTCAAGCGCTGACAAACCAAAGTCTTAGAATGGGAAGAACAGAGCACATGAACATGGGTGATGAAATTAATCATCATCTTCGTCAACTTGAAGACATTCCTACACCAGCTAACACGGGGTAATGTATATATTTTTCTTAAACTATGATCATGTAATCATATATTGTATCGTCCTAACATTATCTTAATTAATAACTAATTACATTTATATTTTCTCTCTCCTTACACTCATGAAGTTGCTCCCACGTTTGTTAGCGCTAATTTTGGCTAATCAATTTTATTTCTGTCATTCAGATTGCTCCTTTCAATTGGGAATTTTGAAAATATACATCTGTATTTACTCTGCATTTTCTCTATTTAGAAACCCTCTAAATAAAGAACAAGGTAATTATTTCTTTTGTATTTTTTTCCTGAGTATCTTAATTTTGTTCTTTGAGCTATTTTTTCAATTAAAGTTGGCTTCTTTTTTTTATAATTATTATTGTTTTCGGGAATTTAGTTTAATGCAATTAAATTGGGTTCTGCTGGGAAAATTATAATGTGGGTAACTGGGTGTTGTCCTATGATTATGGTTTGCTATATTTTGGGGTAATATTCTCTGTTTGGTGATCCGGGTTTTTCTCATTTTGAGCAATATCTGCTAATATTGGATTTTTGTGTTTTTCCTTTGAAGAAAAAAAAAAAAAAAGAAAAGAAAAAAAAAGGTTGATCTTGTTGATTTTGTATTATTGAATTTGAATTAAGGGGAATTAAAAAGGGTTTTTAATTGGTTGAATTGTATTTCTTGCTGCAGAATTTTTTCAGTTTTTGTGGCTGAGTGAATTTTTAAATTTTTGGAAAAAAAAATTAGGGTTCTTGAGGATCTTGGCAGTTTGATTAATGCATGAGAATTCTGGATTTTTGCAGTGCATTAGGTTTCACATAAAATTGGCATTTTTGGTGGGAATTTGAAGGAGAATATTGGAGGTTTGTAAAGTTTGGCAAAATTGGGATGTTTGTATGAATTACATGCTTACATGTTGTAGGGAAGGAGTAATCTAGGAAAAGATTAGATGGCTTCATCCCCAGATTCTCAACCTGAAAGCCCTCCATCTACTACACTAACTCCTGTCCTTACAAAATTATTACCACCTGTTGAATCACCTCCGAATGTTGTTCCATCTGCTCCCCCTCCTGCCAATAATCCTCCACCACCATCGCCGCCAACTTCCCCTCCACCAGTTGCCACTACACCGCCACGCTCACCACCCCCAGCACCAGGCTCACCGCCTTTGTCTCCACCACCATCTTCTCCCCCGCCCTCATCAGCACCTGTTAACTCTTCTCCACCGGCCTCTTCCCCACCTCCTATTGTAACACCTGCACAGTCTCCCCCGGTTACTCTCCAACCACCACCTTCTCCATCACCCCCAGCTCCTCCTGGCACATCTCCAGGCTCTTCTCCACCAGATACTTTTGTTCCTCCTCCTCCTGTGGACTCTTCATCTCCTCCAGTGCCACCCGAGTCCACTCTTTCCCCTCCAGTATCTCCAAGTGACTCTTCTACGCCTTCTAGATCAGTACCAAGACCAGCAACAGAATCTGGAAGTACTGCCTCGATTTCTCCAGTGAATTCCTCTGCTAGTCCCTCTCCTGGTAATGATGCAACAGTTAAGACAGGAATAGCCATTGGGATTGTGGCAGCTGTTTTCACCATAGGCTTTTTTATGGCCATTGTGTGCTTGCGAAGGCGGAAGAAAAGACACATACGACATAATTCAGTGTACATGTTGCCATCCCCATATGCCTCTTCACAGACATCAGGTAACACTTATGTAGTTATGTTTACAATTGTATTCTGGTTAAAGTCATAAACTTGGCTGCATATAATTTTTTCAAATTGCCAACATTAAGTCAAATATGAATCACTTGTTATAGCTGGTAGCCTGCTCTGGTTTATGCAATTTACTAAATTCTTTTACACAGATACTGCATGTGGCTGATTAGCCTGATAATGGAGGTTTTAGTTTATGGTATGATTACATATTTGAACCCCCTGCCAAATTATATAAAATATGTTAATATTTTAGTCAAAACATGAACCTGAAAATTGGCGTACTGCTCTGTATTGGTCATCAGTAGCACCCATACCTTAACACCCCCCCCCCTTCCCCCCGACTGAAAATATGAATTCGAAACCAAAATACTTACAAATTGCTGCATTACTCTATACCTGTCTAGGGTGGTAGTACTTAATGATTTTCTCAACTGAGCATAAAATCATTTTTTTTTTTTTTTTTTTCCTGAAGCTCAGTAAGTAAATACAGCCATTACGTCATGCTTTTCTACGCTAGTACGTTATTATTTTTGATTAGTGTAGTTTCTGGAACTTGGGCACTTAAAAAACTTGAATCTTTTTTGGTGTTGTCAATATATACAGTTCTTATCAAGCCATAGAGGTGAGTATGAATAAGACACTGTGACAGGGCTGAAATTACAGACTACTATTTTAGACGATGAAAATAAAATGACAAGTAAATCGAGGGAAAGACAATCAGATCATTTTGTTTCATAACACCTAATACGCTAAGTTTTAGCCTGCATGTGCATACATAATGAACAGCTTACTTTGTATTTCCAGGCACCTCTTTTATGAAACCAAGTGATGGTGGTGGTGGCGATTATATAAATTCATCACCAGATACTGGTGGAATAGGCAACTCAAAAACCTGGTTTTCTTACGAGGAGTTGCATGCTGCCTCGAATGGGTTTGCTGCACAAAATATTTTGGGGGCTGGTGGATTTGGATGCGTGTATAGAGGTTGTTTGCAAGATGGCACAGAAGTAGCTATAAAAAAGTTGAAAGATAACAGTGGGCAAGGAGATCGTGAGTTTAAAGCGGAGGTTGAGATTATCAGCCGTGTGCACCATCGCTATTTGGTTTCTCTTGTGGGTTATTGCATCACTGATTTTCAAAGATTGCTCGTCTATGAATTTGTTGCAAATGGCACCCTTCACTACCACCTCCACAGTAAGTTTATTATTAAGAATTGAGACGCTTTGCTCTATAAATGTAATACACATGCCAATGTGTCTTGACTGTCACTCATTCCTTGTCTGCCTGTCAAGTATACATAGGTAGTGGGTAAAATGTCACAGAAGCTAATAAGATACTAAAAATCATGTCTGCAGTTTGATGCTTAACTCCGTCAATATCTTAAGTAAAGACAGTTAATTGACATCTGCTTGCTTATGGCTTTTCCAGATTCTAATAAACCATTTATGCCATGGAGCCTCCGAGTCAGGGTTGCTTGTGGTTCTGCTAAGGGAATTGCATATCTCCATGAAGATTGTAATGCATGGAAATCCTTTTTTGTTTTGACTTGTTCTTATATCTTTATTCTTGATGTTTCTTATGCAATCTCTTATATTTTCCTTGTCTTTTGTCACCAGGTCATCCAAGGATTATTCACAGGGATATTAAAACTGCTAACATCCTTATAGACAACAACTTCGATGCTAAGGTACACCCTTTCATGTGTAATGACAGTCACGTTTCGTAGGAAACACTGGGACTTACAATTACGCTAATGTGGTTACTACATATTTAATCAATTAAGATTAACATAGGCTGATATTCTTACATTGAAGGCCTCTTCTGATACTCAAATTGTTGGTTCAAATATAGTTCTTGACTTTGACTGTGGTTTACTGCTGCAAACAGGTAGCTGATTTTGGGCTGGCAAAAATAGCACAAGAGTTGGAATGCAACACACATGTATCTACACGAGTCATGGGAACTTTTGGGTGGGTAGTTTTTCTGTTTTTTCCATGGTAGCGAGTCAGTAGTTTCCATAAGACCAGTTTCACTCTATATTCTGCTCTATATAGCAGAGACATTGCAATTTTCATCTGGCAGTATATATTTGAAGATAGAGTTTCATCCAAGTCCCAGCATGTCATTAGGGCTTTGTACATTTCTAATTATTTGTCATATATGGCTTCTTTGCAGCTACATGGCACCTGAATATGCATCGAGTGGCAAGTTGACTGAAAAGTCCGATGTATTCTCATTCGGAGTAGTGCTTCTAGAGATTATAACGGGACGCAAGCCTGTTGATGAAACCAGGCCACTAGGAGATGAGAGCTTAGTTGAATGGGTGAGTTGGGGTACAAATCTTGTAGTAAGAAATCCCTCTTCGTTTTAGTCTCTGTTCTGATAATTGCTTGACCTGTTGTAAAATGTAACCATATAGGCTCGACCTTTGATGACTGAGGCGTTGGACAACCAAAACTTTGATGAACTTGCTGACCCAAGATTGCAAGGAAACTATGATAGAGGTGAGATGTTTCGGATGATTGAAGCAGCAGCTGCATGTGTACGGCATTCGGCTGTAAAGAGGCCAAAAATGAGCCAGGTAAAGATTCAAGGAAACATGCCAAAAAAAAGATACTTTTTTCCTTTAGATAACTGATTTTGTTTATTTTGCCTTGTTAACTAAATAAGGTGGTAAGAGCATTGGATACAATGAACGAACTATCAGATATATCGAATGGCATGAAACCAGGTCAAAGTGGGATATATGATTCAAGAGAGCAATCAGCACAAATCAGAATGTTCCAGAGGATGGCGTTTGGAAGCCAAGAATTTAGTTCAGAACAAAATAACAGCCACAGTAGCCGTTCAAGTGGAGGGAGAAGTGGAATAGCTAGGGGCAGAAGTGGACAGGTCTAAGTTACAAATGTAAAATTGTTTAGTTTATGAATCATCTCGTATCTGGTGGAGATAGATACTTGATGCATGCTTATAAGGAACGGCAAGTCTATCCCCTTGAACTCAATAACATATGGGGAGCGAAAGGATGCTTAAAGATTGCCAAAGGGCTTGTAGACTTAGTTCTTTGGCCTCGGCAATTAGACTCTTGAAAGGCTCAGTAAAGATCTTGTACGTTTCCAAACCATAAGTGTAAACTATCACTCAATTTTTTCCTTCTGTGGATAAGCTATGTCTTTGGCTATAATATAATTTGAGGTTGTTTTAGGGCGTGATAGTTAATAGCAATTCTAATGTCACATCTTCCTCTATCTTCTATATCCTTGCTCTTTGGTCAATAATTTTGTACTGTAATTTATACAACTTTAAATATTCATCAAAGATCCAGGCACACTATTATTAAGGTGAGCAAAGTTTTTGATAACCTCATAATATAGTATATATTTCTTAATCATTAAATTTGTCAGCATCCAATATTGAGGAAAGAACTCTCATGTTTGTTGCGGAGTATTTCTCATCCACATCTAATTATTGAATACTATTGTACGGAGTACTTTGTACTATGTTTAGTTATTGACAAGTACATTACATTACTTTTAAGTTTTAACATAAAAATAATTTCATTAATAACACATCATAAAGAGTTTTCACATTATCATCTTGGCCCAAATACAGGGAAATCGAGCCTAAAAAAAAATGCTAAAGCAACAAAGCTGAAATAACAAGAAATTAAACTGACGTCATCAATGTCCCTTTTGACATCCATGTTGACAGTAGGGAGGGCATAAAAAATTACAACTCAAGGATAAAAACAATTCAAAATACTAGAAATCTAAATTAAAACAAACTTAACATAATATGAGTAGTGGGATACGAAACAACTTGATCTAAGACAATTCAGATGTCTCTAGCCAAGTAAGGAGTATCATCTTTGATAGACGCAGAACTACCCGGAATAAACCTAATCTGAACCTTAGTATTATTATCTTCTAGTACACCATGTACGTACCTGAATTCCTCCATCGTCGCAACAAAAACGACACTCGAGCCCTTAATTTTTCTATCACCTCATTAATAATTATCAATGATACATTCCAACTTTTGGCTTTTATCTGTGATACACATCATTAAATTTTCATTATCAGCGGTGCACTCATAATTATCATCTAATTACTACAGTAAGCACACCATTAGTAAAACGTTTAGTTAGTTAATTTGAAACGTTTTAGTTGGAAAAATGAGGAAAAGACCTCAATGCCCTCCCATTTAATCTCCCTCCAACCTTTCCCTCCAACATTTCCCTCCTTATTTAAAAAATAAAAATCAATTCCCACCACATTAAACCTTATAAATACATGCTCTTCTCTCTCGTTTTTCTTGCTTTCTCTTTCTCTTTCGTTTTTTTTGCTTTCTCAATTTTTTTTTGCTTTCAAATCTGTAATGGCTTCCTCTTCTGGCGCAAGATCTCTTTCAAGCAACAGAAATATAAGAGGTGTGTGGGTTAAAACCATTACCTGCAACTGTAATCCTCCAAGATCTGCAGACATTAGGTTCTCAAACTCAGCAGCTAATCCTGGAAGGCCCTATTACAAGTGCAGGCTCTGTGATTTGTTCTTGTGGCTCACTAATGAACATATTGTAAGGGATGTTGGTGGCAGACCTGGTGACATGTCAGAAGCAGCATATGTTCAACTATTAAGGGCAAAATTCACTGAGTTCATGAAGAAGAAGACAGATGACTTTGCTGATTTTGTTCATATGGTTGTTAAGTTTGTTGTTGTGTATTTGGTCTTGTTGGTTGTTGTTTTGAAATAGATGCAGTTCAAGAGTGGGTGTGTGAGTTGCAATGAGAACTTAGTTGTGAGATGTAATTTGAGTTGATAATAAAAGTGTTTGCTTTATGTTATACTCCCCTATTTCTTTAATTACTGACACTTAATGGTGCACTAACAAGAATAAAGTAGTAAAATTAGGGAAACTAACAAGAATAAAGTAGTAAAATTAGAAACAAGAAAAGGCATATATTAACTGTTATAGCAAAAGCACTGCAACCCAAACATACTGTTTCAGAAGGTTACATCAAAAGTAAGACAAACAACTGAAAAACTTGTACCAAGTTCCCAACAAGTACACTTGTTTCACAAAAAAAACTTAACCAATTGTCTGATCAAACAACACCAAACTTTGGTTTATAATACATCAAAATAAACTAAAAAGCATCTGCATATCTCAAAATTACATCCTTGTCTCAGCTCTGGGACTGTGACAGGTCTTGTGGCTGACTTGACAGTTGTAAGCTTGTGAGCTCAGTTGCACCAGACCCTTCACCCTTTGATTTTGCTCTTGCTTCTTTTGCAGCATTTGTCTGATCTCTCACTCTTGGGTTTTGTATCACAAGTGCTTCTCCAGCCCTTAGCTCTTTTCCAGTCAGCCCTCCTTTACAAGTTTTTTTGTTATGTCCAAAACAACCACAGCTTGAGCATCTCACAGTTCTTGACCTTTTGCTTGGCCGGTCCTCTCCTTCTTCCCTTTTCTTGTTTCTGCTAGGTCTACCAACCCCCCTTTTCATCTTTGGTGGGTGAACATGAGGAGGGTTCTCAGCAGCAGATTCAGGCCATTGACTAAGATCTGGGATAGGAGTTATGCAATGACTGTACACCTCTTTGTATGTCTGTGCAGAATACCAGGAACTGACATAATTGTGAGGGTCAACTTTTGCATGAGTCATTGCCCTTATAGCATGTCTGCAAGGTATGCCAGACAGTTACCAAGCTCCACATGAGCAAATCTTACTGTTTAGGCTGAGAGGGAACTGTGATTTACCCTCATGAATCTCATATTCCTCTGGGCTTGACTGGAAAGCTCTACAAGTTGTAGAAGCTTTGCTGATCTCTCTGACCAATCTTGCTATATTGGGGCAGAGTTCATCATTATTGAAGGCCATTGCAGTCTCATGCCTTGAAGCTATCCTGACCATGCACACTCTCCTTATACCTATCATAACATAACAATCAAATTAGCAATGTAATCATTCAAAATAAGTGTGAAATGCAAGTCAGCTTGATCATTACCTTCCAGCAAAGTCAATACTGGCCTGCATCCGTCAGGTCCAAGTTTTGAGTTAAAACTCTCAACAAAGTTTGAAGTGTTGGAGTCATTGCACACATTGGATCAAATCTGTGTTTACTCCACTTAGATTGATGGCCTAAATCTGTAAACCATTTCATGACATCCTCCCCACCTTCCTTTTTAAGTCTCTTCATTGCTTTTCTGAATGTGAATTTGTTAGTAGCATTGCAAGCTCTCCAGAAAAGGGTGTACATAAGTGGACCTGGGAAAGCTTTCTTGTAATTTCTACTCAAGTGTCTGCAACAGTACCTTCTCTTAACTTCAGGCCAAATATTTTTCAATGCAACATCAACACCCTACAACAATCACTTTATCAATGTATGCCATTAAATATAGTAATCAAGAAATGAAAAAGTGAAATATATACACACCTTTGCCCGTCAGAAATAATTGTCCAGTCTGTCCTCCCTGAATCTTTGACTATGTTGTGGATGTGCCAGAAAAAATAACTCCAACTATCTTTGTCTACACTGCTAACAATTGCATATCCAACTGGGTATATCTCATTGTTACCATCCAAGGCAACAACAGATAGTAAAATTCCACCATAATTGCCCTTCAAATGAGTACCATCAACTCCAATCAATGGCCTACAGCCTGCTAGGAAGCCTTGCCACTATCCAGCAAATGAGATGAATATGCTGCTGAACAAATTAACCCTTGGAATGCTTTCACTCTCATGCCATGCCACAAAAGCCTTAGAACCTGGGTTAGTGCTCATTATAACTTCAGCATATCTAGGTAAGTGGTTGTATGACTCATCATGTCCTCCAAATATCTCTTGAACAACATATCTCTTCAACCTATACAAGGTGGCTTGCTTCAAGTAAATGCCAAACCTCTAAAACAGAAGCTCATTAAGGGCCTTTCCTGGAATGTCTGGATTTTCCCTTATGTCTTCCATTACCTTTGGAGCAGCCCATTTAACTGTACAAATTGGGTTATACATTTCTAACCCCCTGCAGTTATGCACATCTGGCCAAATCTTCTTTATAGCCCAAGTCTTGCCATCTGCCAGCCTACTAGCATGCATCCTCCACTCACAGCATTGTGCCAAGCATGTTACAGTGTACCTCTTGCTGTCTGCAGCCACCATAGTAATAGCAAAGCCTTCTTGAACTGCACAATCTTTCAAGGTCTCTCTCAAATGGGCCTTGTCAATAAATATCATCCACGGTCTAAGCAATATCTTCCCAAATTTGACTTCTTCATACATCTCCCCATGCTTATAAAGCTTATCCATATAATTCTCATCATCAGAATCATCAATGAAAGCTGACCAAAAGGTAGGTGACCAGTTGTCTTCTATGTGGGGAACAGTGATTATATCATGCAACTCATCCTGAAGAACATCACCATCAGGAATTACTTCTTCATATGAGTCTACTGGTTCATCATCATGCACATCAGCCTCATAATCACCATCAGAAGAATCATCAGCATCAGATTCATCACCAGTTTCATCACCAGAATCATCAGGATCACCACCAGCACCACTCAAACCATATGTAACCCTCCTTCTAGCACTAGGTGCACTACTCTCCCCTAGCTTTATGTGTGTTGTACCTTGTTTAGGCACCCTCCCTTTCTGACCAATCCATATACCCTTCCTAATTTGAGTAGTTTTAGGAATTTTTCTAGCAAATATGTTAGGGTCAGTGATAATACTTGATGGTTGGCTGTTTGGACTTGATCTGGGAAGGGGAGTGGTGTGATTAGCTGTGACTTGGGCTGGTGAAAACCTAGGACTTCTTCTCACAACAAGTGTTTTGAATACAGTGTGTGGTGAAATTGGAGAAGGAGGTAAATTCTCACTCCCAGACCCAACTGACTCCTTACCCTTCCCACCACTAGAACCAGCCTAGCCCTTACTCTTCCCACCAGCAGAACCAGCCTTGCCCTTACCCTGAGTTTGCACAGTATTTCTCAAACTCCTTCCTACCCTTCCTGTATTCTTTATTAGACTGCTTACCAACACTCTCTACATATACTTCCTGCACATCAGCAAAGGTTGCTTCTGGGTCATGATTAAATTCAGTCCCAAATATCTCATGTAATGCAGGGCTACTAGGAGTAACCACACTGCTAGGGGCATCAGCATCCTCAGAGTATTTCAATCTTAATCTCCTCCTAGGGTTTATTTTGGTGTTCTCATTCCCTGTCTCAGAAGGAGTAACCACACTCTCTTCATGTACTTCCTGCATATTAGCAAAGGTTGCTTCTGGGTCATCATTAAATTCAGTCCCAAATATCTCATGTAATGCAGCATCCTCAGAGTATTTCAATCTCAATCTCCTCCTAGGCTTTAGTTTGGTGTTCTCATTCCCTGTCTTAGAAAGAGTGGTATTTTCTACAGAAGGCTGGGAATTCTCACTCACAGTCAATGGTAGGGATGGTTGGTTTAGAGGTGGTGGTTCTGGTTCTTCATGTACAAGTGGTATTCTGGTTCTTCATGTACACCCTGGCTAGCTAGTTCAGTAGCTAATTTGTTCCTCCTAAACTCAGATACTAAGTCATTCATAAAAGTTGAATTTAAAGTAGTCCCAACCAAAATCTCATACATCTTAGCATCAGGGAGTGTCCTAAACATCCTAATCAGACCACCATCATCATCTATTGGCCAATGTTTGCCCCTATATGCATAAGCAAATATAGGGTTCAAAATAACTATTCCCTTATTCTGTAAAATATCTTTAAATTCTATCATTAAGTCCATGAGGTTGCACTTATCACAGTCCACATCAATATCAACATTATGCTGCTTATACTTAAATCTCAGTGTAACCGTGTCATGCATTCTGCAAAGTAAATTACGCTACCACGATTTAAGCACAACAGTAGATCACAAACTAAAGAACACATATTTAAACCTAGATTTCAAACTCAAACTCAGCATTTTTGAATAATGTAATTTAGAAAGTACAAAATTTAGCAAGCATACATAATCATAGTCAAATCGAACATAAATCAAGGCTAAATCAAACAACATTAGAGCATAATTCAACCACTAACACTATAGCATGCAAACTCAAACTCGGCATTTTTGGATTATGTAATTTAGAAAGTACAAAATTTAGCAACCATACATAATCATAGGCAAATCGAAAATAAATCAAGGCTAAATCAAACAACATTAGAGCATAATTCAACCAGTCAACATAATTCAACCACTCACAAAAAATTGCATACTTCATCTAAAACCTAGCAATTTAAAGCGAAAAAATTAGAAATTATAACAACAAATAAGCACTAACCTTTTACAATCCACAAAGCAGGCCTGAATCTTCCAAGAATTTTGCTTCCAAACCGTGACAATTAGGGTTTGAGGAAGAATAAACAGGGGAGAGAGTAAAGAAGATGAACGATCACAAATTTGGAGTTAATGTTGTCAGTTGAGTTTGGAGGGAGAATTAATGAGTTGGGGGGCATTTTCGTCAAGTCAAGTTTAAGCAAAATCCCTGTCATTAACCCTAATTAAACGTTTTACTAACGGTGTGCTTACTGTAGTAATTAGGTGATAATTATGAGTGCACCGCTGATAATGAAAATTTAATGATGTGTATCAAAGATAAAAGCCAAAAGTTGGTTCACTGAATAAGAATTAGGTGATTAAGGGCTTGAGTGTCGTTATTTTAGACTAATTGCTTCACTGAATAAGAATTGATTTTGATTGTTACTTGATTCACCACCTTTTTTTTTTTTTTTTCCTTGTGCTTTGAATTGTTTAAAGAGATAAGAAATGAAATGAAATGAAATGTAGAAGGCTTATATAATAGAGAAATTGGAGATGAAAGAGCTAAAAAACAAAGAGCCATGCAATGCAATTATACAAGGTAGTACGTAGTACGTAGTACTAGCTACATTTTTTTGCAGTTGAGTTGTCACACAACCACCCATCAATTACATCATCCAAAATAAATGAACCCTCGAAAAAAAAATTGTTAGAAATACTTTTGCAACCTATATAAGTATTATTTTCATTACTTTGTCTCAGACATTTTTGAAGCCTGGAGCAAAAACTAAAAAAACAAAAAGAATCCTAATAATAAACAACGAAGACGTATTTCATACATAATTCGCCAACATTCCAACAAAGTATTTATTGGCTTTTAGTACTCTGGTATTTTCTTTGGCTTAATTCATTGATTAGAGCTTACATGAAACTGTTTCCTCCTCGTCTAAAATAAATAAATAAATTTTCTGTTGATTCATTCATTAGTATATTTTTATCTTTCTATTCTCTTTCTTTAATTAATTAATTTCCTATAAATTTAGTCAACATAGAGTGGGCATAAGACAGCAGTCAATCAATTGTTGTAACTACACAAGTTTCACTAATCAATTAGATCGATTTTGCATTTGCGCAGCAATTCAGTTGGAGGAATAAACTTAATTGTTCTGTGCTTAAAACTTGCACTAACCAGATTTAATTATTGCTTTTAATCTTATTGCTAAATAAATTACCGTCTTTTTCTTCTCTTAAGATAAAGGGCCGCAAATTATTACTCCGTACTACATATGAACAAATATGTTTGCCCATTAAAGCAAACATTTAATATATATGGAGTATGTAGTTGACTCCTTCATAATGTTTCTTAATCATTAAATTTGTCACCATCTAATATTGAGGAAAGAACTCTCATTTATTTGTTGCGGAGTATGTTCAAAAACACACAATTCATACAAAAACAATGAGTAATAGAGTACAACATATTTTTATTTTTCTGGTTTTTAAAGAATAACTGGTGTGTACCCCGGGCGATGCCCGATTCGCTAGTTTGTGTACTTCTTTAATTTAATAATTATGTTCGACTATTTGTGTAGTTAGTGTGTGTAGTGGTTTGCTCGTTGCTTGGGTGTCACTTTTTTTTTTTTTACATCATACGTATTTATTCTAATTTACCTAATAAATGAAAGAATATATACGAAGTATAATATATGTGAAATGTAAAACATTAATAAAAGATGGTTGAGATGGTAAATGTATTAGCTACATATATTAGAGATTATGGGTTCGTTTGAATCTTGTTCAAAGCATATTTTATTTTGTTACACGTGGCATATATACTTTGGATGTTGACATGACATTGTGACATGTTACACATACTTTGAAGAATGCCACGTAACACCGTTCCTTTAAAAGGATGAAAATTTTACGGTAGTCATTTGAAATATGACTACTATAATGTTTTAACGATTATATAGTCAAATTGATATTTTTTTTCCAAGTAATTAATTATATTACTTTACTAATGGTATTAAACAGTATTATCAACATTTTTTTGATTTATCAAATTTTTAGTTTCATTTATGTAATTTTTATTCTTATTTTATAGTTTCTCAAAAAATATGTATTTTATGTTGGATTAAAATTTTCAAAATTTATATTTACACTGTAATTTATGGACATTTTGTGAAAAACTACCTAACCAAAAAAATGTTGTAAGAAACCATCTTATAAAAGGGTAAACGTTGTAAAATAACTACCGTTAGTCGGAAAGTCACCGTTGACTTTCGTTTTCCGGCGTTGATCACATCACGTGCCAATCACCGTGACTTTTAATTCACCCTTTCCCTCCTTTTTCTCTTAATTGGCACGTGACATGATCAATGCCGGAAAATAAAAGTCAGCCATGCCTTTGTTGCAACATTTATCCTTTTATAAGGTAGTTTCTTAAAACATTGTTTTTATTAGGTAGTTTCTCACAAAAAAACGTGTTTTCTAAGGTAGTTTTCCACAAAATGTCCTTTAATTATTGTGAATTTGTCACCCACCAGCCGTCACGTACTTATCTACAACCTGAGCCCCTTCCATAGCCTAAACCACCACCCCCAAAACTCGCGACCACTGACAGTCTGACAACAACCCCCTCCACCCCCTAGCTAGTAATTTGATCATCCAAACTAAGTTGGACCTTGCTACCATTACAATCATATGACACACCACCATCATACCATAATCATATGACGTTAATCTAGTTCATGATATTGCTACACCAGTACGTCACACAATATACTTGCTACAATTTTTTTACCTCAACCTCGACCAAAATAATTAGATACTAGTAGTAACTTAAAATAAGCCCTTGTTAAATTTGTTCATCTTTGCTAACTCTGCTGCAATATCAAAATCTAAACCACACATTTACTCTTGTCAAGTACTCAAGTATTGAATGAGAAAAGTAGTCAAGTACTACAAGTAGGTGGAAATTGTACTCGAAGGTACCGAAAGAATGGATGAAGCAATAGTACTCGGGGTTGAATACAATGCATAAATACATACTTGGCCTTATCAAACACATGAACTAAACCAGTAACACTTGTTTTAGCTTTGATGCTCGTATTGAAGTCATGAATGTAGGCGCAGATGAAGCAGATGTTCAACTTGCAGGCGTGGAAGCGCAACCTCCACCACCGGAAACACTTGCGATTTAGAGATATGTACAATGAGCAGAGTAACACAGAGAAGAAGGGGAGAGGATACAGAAAAGACTTGAAGAATTTCACCATCTGAGCTTCTTTGGGTTGGTAGTTTAAGACAATTCCAATTTGCTCTTCCTTATGCCAGGTCAAAGGGAGTACTACCTTCCGGCTGGGGATACGCTTGTTAGAGCCACCTTTTGTTATGCTACCCTACCCTAGTCTTGTTTCTAAACTTAAAAGTGTTGTAAAATACCGGCTTTCTTTTGTTTATTTGTCTATATAGCTTAAGATAAGAGATTATATTATCATACAAAGTAATCAGTATATTTCTGTGATTTGATGAAGTGCTTTGTATCCCCATTTTCTTGCATGCTTAAAAATGGTTTTTTCTCACTAAAATGCTAATTTGTTGGATCATTTGCCAAATGCTATGATTTTATTAATCCTATCCACCTCGTTCTCTTATTGTAGCTTGACGTTAAGGTCTCCCCTCAATGGAATTTCAAGTGTGAAGGATATTAATACATACATAAAACATCACTCCTAATTAGTAGAGGACAAGGACCTTCTTCTCCTGAACAACCATGCCTTTTCACCCCTACTTTGAACCTTGTTCACATCATGGAAAGAGTCATCATGAAAGCGTCTAGACCCCGAACTTGTTCTTGAAGAGCTTTCATACGAGTCTTCCCATTCACTATTATCTTCACTAGAGCTTATTTCAATTGCTTCATCTGCCTTTGTTTTCCCCTTCAGATCTTTAGCAGCAAATTCTATTTCAGTATGCAAATCATTCTCGGAATTTGTTTCTTGACCACTTTCTTCATCTGAAGTACTGCTATATGTGTGAAAGATAGTAACATTCTCAGTCTTTGACCCTTGAAAAGAATAGCTTCTTGCTTTCTTATCATATATTGGAAGTACAGGTTTTGACAGTGAACTTGTGCTGTCTTTTCCTAAGCTGTAAGTTGTTGAGAGTTTCCTTTCGATGCCTTCTCTTTCTCGTACTAGATTGCTCAAATTTTCCAAAACGATGCTGGTTGTTGCCTCCTTGGCTGCCTTCTGCTCTAGCTCTGAAATCGTCTGTTCATACTCTTTCTTTTTAAGCCGCAGTGATTGCTAGAGAAAAATATAACAGCATGTCAGAATTCCACTGCATATTCATAATTTTAGGCTTTAATCTTGTAGTTCTGAAATTGGCTAATAGTAATAGAACCAGTGTGTTACTAATACTAGACTTACTCGTTTATCAAGGAATTTTCCAAGATCTTGATTTCGGAGCTTCTGCTTATTCCAAAATATCCAACAGAATCGTACACTTATAGCCAAGGCAACCAAGATAATGGTTTCAAACAGCAAGAATAAAAGTATGGCTCTTTCGTTTCCTAGGAAAAGAGAGAAAAATATCCTGATTAATGTTAAACACTAATCAATTTCCAGTCATAAGACTCCTAATACATACTGAATGAAGATACAACTGATATACCTGTATAAACACTGATGCTCTTAGGCCTCAACTCGGAGCAACTAAATGCAAGCTTCAGATCTGCAACCAGAAACATAAACCAGTTATGTTGGAAATATGCAATTTGAGGGCATAAAGGATGAGTATCTCAGATGAAATACTGGTGCTTCTGCATGGAAGTGGGTTTCCGATCTCTGCATCACAATATAAAAGTGCAACCAATCACTCAAGAGTATTCTAGGATTTCTAGCAGAATCTGAAGTAAAACAAGCAGCATGAGAGCTTTAGTATGTATATCAACTCAAGGCCATTAATTAATTTTGTGCAATAATTCTTTTAAGCAAAAGAGTGACTATGATCCTTACTTGCTGCAGCAATAAAAGCAAGGACAGTCCCCTCGTTCAGATTAAACTTCCTCAGGTCACTTCGTGATAGGTTTGATGCAAATTCACCTGTGTTAAGTGATGTACACACAGTGATTTAAAGAGTTGGAAAAGAGTTCTCAAAATGCTAGTTCTAAAGTGGACAGCTTACCAGGATACATGTCCGACCAATAGAAAGCTTCAGTGGCAGGAACCAACAATGAAAAAACAACATTCTTGGGTTTCATTGCAGAAACAAATGTGTAATTATCGATCACACGGCTGCTTTTACCCTCCATTTCTGTCTGTGATATATACACTGCATAGCCAGAGCAATCAAGAACAGGACTGACTTGAATCACGGAGTTCACTGGAGGCGCCTTAGAGAACTTTTTTAGGATCCCCGTTGGTGAGATGGAGTAGAGGAATCCATCAAGTGAACCGATAGATACCCACCCTACAATGTTTTCAGAAGAACACATACTAATGGATTCAAACACATAAGCAATATAATATTACAAACAAACTTTATGAAAAAATTACCATTGGCATCAACCACAGGTAAATGCTCTGCAGAACTTAGTGGTCCAATACTAATCTCCCATGAAATATCACCTGTAAAAGCATCTAAGCCGAGTACAATGGCCTTAGCAGGAACTGTAACATACAGGAAGCCATTGTTCCCTGGAGTGGCAGTAAATGCTTTGTCAAATGAACTCAAATTCTGAATCCATTTAAAATGAGGACTACGAGCTGATATAGAATAGAGTTCTCCCTCATTATTTGAAATCTGCACAACAAATCCAACACAAAAACTTAAAAAAAACTTGTCAATGACATAACTGTGAAAGACTGATCTGAGATTACTTACATATACACTGCTCTCACAACTATCAATAATGGGAGGTGACGTGAAATAACAGTCTGTAACATTATTCTTGCAACCTTGAAAATACCCGAACTGATTAATTACCGGTAAAGCACTCCAACGCAGCCTCCCTCTCAACGAATATGCATAAAGTCCTTTATTTCTTATGTTTATGTAAACAGAAGATGTTAGCATACTTGCAGAAACTCCAAGGATTTCATCTGATCTTTCTCCTGTTGATTCGTTACCAAAGAAAAGTTCAACAGCTGGATCAGAATTTCCAGCAGTCAAAGTATTGATCCTTAACACTTTATTTTCTGCAATGATGTACACCTACAAACAAATTGACAAGTTCGCGTTATTGCAAGTCATGAATTCATAAAACCCTAGCATATTCACTAAAAAAAGGCTGATAAAATTTACCTTCCCTTTTCCACCATAAACCGGAGCAATGCCACCATTGCACGTATAATTCAAGTGTACACTCGAAACCATAGACCCATTGCTTTTAAAAGCATACAAAAATTTCTCAGAACAAGAATATACAATTCCATCATCTACAATCAGAGGTTTCCCTAGCCTAGAAGTAAAACTTTTCCATGGTTCGGCTGCAACAAAGAAAGAATGCACATTTCTCAGAAAATTATTAGTAAATCCACTTAATTATAAAGGATACATAAACATATAGCAATTAACACTTTGCATATACTACATCTAATACGAACTCCGTCCAGACTTTCTTTGTTACGTTACTAGTTCAAGTTACAATATCAACGCGAGAACATGGCAATTAATTTGGGATGGGGTGTCGTATCATACCTTGAATGAAACCAGGCAGAAGTAGAAGCAAGACAAAACAAGGAAGTACAAGTAGTCTAGTAATCCAATAGCAGCCCACCTTGCACATAATATCAACGAGTAAAAATGAATTTATTGACAATCAGTCTAAGAATATTATAGTTTACACAAATGCCAAAGACAATGAAGATTGAATGCAAAAGTAAAAATGAACAAGGAAAGAAACGGTTACAAGTTGAAGTGTTGTTTTTTTCTCGAAAACTAACTGTTGGGTAGTTAAGTTGAATTTATCATTATTTTTTTCTTTTTTTTTTTTTTTTTTGAGGAATAAATTTTTTTGAATTAATTAATTGATAGTGAGTTGATTTTCAATAGCCACTATTTTTATAGTCAATAAATGATTTCATCTCTCCTGACAAAAAAAAAAAAATCTTAACCCATCACTCCATAATATATCTTCACCGTTGATTCTTTTTCCTACTAAACAAATTTTATGAATCTACTTTTTTCCAGTCAAAGTTTTTCCTCAAAATAAAAATTAAAAAAAAAAAAAAAAAAAAAAAAAAAAAGTTTTTTCTTAAGCTTGCTTGCCGAGTTGCCGCATTGAGGACTAGAAGACAACGGTTGGATATAAATTACAGTTTGCCGCCATATTATGAAGGTTGAAGATTGAATGTTAAAAATAAACGGTCTAAATCTAAATGAGAGGTAGTTACAACACTTTTGTTGTAGCTATTGTAAAATTATCCAGTTATAGACCTTATAGTGTTGATTGACGATTGTCGTAACATGTTACCTGTAGGCGTACCAATTATTAAGTTTCTTGGTTCCCGGGCTCAAACCTATGAGCCTATATCTTTGGCAAGCATAGTGTGTTAATAGCCATAAAGATGTATAGCAGTATAGAGTATATATCGACCATCAGTATTATGTTGAACTTGGATCATGAAATATAATTATATTCAATTCATCTGACACCAGAATTTACCGAATTTCGTTAAACTAACAAATAATTGTAAACTACATTACCAATAAATGATGGACTAAATAAAGAATGCAATAAGCTCCTAATCCTATACAGAAGAAATTATAACGACAGTAACAAAGAATGGGTATGTGGCACACCAATAGCCATGGAAGTTGATGCCCGATTTGCGAACAATAAAGTCTAGAAAGGGCTTATTTGCCCGGCTAACTTCACCAATATCTCAGGGACTAGGCGTCTCATGGGTGGAGCATTTGCATCCCTCATCAGAGCTTCCTCATCATCTGCGTGTATGACAGAAACCAAATGCTCAAACAGCTCATCTTTACCGCCTCTTAATGGATCCTGCATCATTAATAGTATCGTGTTAAGGAATCAATAGTATCGTGTTAAGGAATCACATGGTTGCTTAAAACTCACACACACACGACTCGTTATAAAGTATTTCTTCGTGACTAAGCATAGGTTCTGTTACCATGCATTTTGTTTAAAGCTATACAGGATTTCTGGAATTTATTGAGAAACAGAGAACACACTGAAAGATGGGGAAAAAAGTGATTTGTTGTTGATGCAAGTGCATCAATAGGCCAGATTTGAGTCAGGTACACTGAATAGAATGGGCTTATTCTTCAGAAAAAGCTTCCAGTTGTTCATTCATACTAGTGTTCATTAAAGTTTAGTTGTATACAGTATGACTGGTATAAACCAGGGGATAAGTATAAGCCATGCACAGAGTGGACTCATACATCCACTCTACGCCAATTTTCCCCCAAAAATGCCCTCCGATTTGGATAGGGAAATGCCATGTACTTGGAAAAAATGCGCCAGTACAATTAAGTATGACAAACAAAAGGAGTGAAAGTTTCAACCTGAACAAACATATCAGTATGAGTTTTCCCTTCATATAAAATCAGATCAGCATGACCACCAGCATTTTTGAGAGCATCTGCAAAATTTTCACTGCACACAAAGACGATCAATAGCGAAGAGTCAATGTACAGTCGTCAACAACAAATCACACTAATAATGCTTGAAGATATTATAGACCTGGCTACTGAAGGAATGGACTTGTCTTCAGTTCCATGAAAAAGAATGAAAGGGGGCAACAATGAAACGGCCTTTGCAATGCTTTTATCCTGCACCCGAAGCTCAGGAGAATACTTCTTCAGAGAACTTTCTCCTTCCATAATGCTGAAAGGGCATCCAGTATCCATTACATTATGATGTCAAACAGAAACAGAAAAATAAATTAAATAAAATATAGAAAGCTTAAATTAGAAGTACCTCAAAAATATGGATCGATAGAGACCTCGATTGTTAAAGTGATCAACCAGATTCACCAAGTTAAACCTACTCCCAAGATTCAGAGGAGATTGTTAGATAAAATGAAAGACATTCATATTATCTGGGAAAAAAAAAATGAAACTATAGTTGGGGAAATTGGTTTACCGGGTCACAAAAATGACACAAAAATTGGACAAATTAACACTTCGAGGCCTGAACAAGATCAGTTTCCCAAAGTAATATTTCGACCCTTATATACACACCGAGTATCACGAAATTACTAGGAGATACAACGAAGACAATCACAACAGTGTGTAGTATGTTTGTGATCTGATATAACCAAAACTTGGTAATTATGATGATGATAGTTAAAGAAACAAGCAAAACTAAGAAAATGGAAAACAAGAAAAGTCACGAAGAAAACTGACTCCTTATTTTCTTTCTTTCATCATATGTTTTTATAACATATTTATAAGAAGCATTTTCCCAGAAATTAGCCTCCGAAGAAACACGAAGAAACTGCCAAATAACTTCCCTGCCTGACCCGCGCCCAACCGGATTCCGGTTAGCCCAACCGGGCGGATCTGGGTGAAAAACATGGACCCTCTCGTCCCGGCCGGGCGGCGGGACCCAAAACCCAGAAAACTTGTCTCGCGCCCTGCAGGGCGGTGAAACCTTGAACCGGGCAGCAGGACTTCGTTTCTCATTCTTCTCTCTCGTGCTCGGCAGGGCGGCGCTACCCAGCCGGGCAGCAGACCAGCGGCAGAAGACAGGGCAGCTTTGCTTCCCCTGCTTCTCCTTGCTTATCCCTCTAAACCGAGGTTCTTCACTCTAATCCGAGTTTACCCCTTTAAACCGAGGTTATTAGCTTCTAATTACTTTGCTATACTTAATCAAAACACCTCACCTATATTAGCACCTTCACCTATATTAACATTGATTAAGCAAAGCAAACATGAATATTGTCTCATACTCTAAATTACTCAACAACTATGAAAATAAAAGAATTCTATCACCACAATTTTTATTCCTAACACCAAATAAACAGGTAGGCATACTCTACTAGTCTACTGTGAATCCAACTAGTCGCTTAAAAATTAAAACTAAGGAATTAGTAGAGTTCAAAATGTCATGTAATAGACCAGATTTCTCTACCCGAAATTAAGCACAAATAACAGTAAATTAAGGCTGAAAGCTTGAATGTTTGATTGCTAATGGTTGAACGATTATAAGGGGTAGTAGCTTGAGGCTACAAACCTCCTAGCAACTTGAGGTTGCAACTCTCTGAAGTTTCCTCACTTAATTTCTGCCTAATCTCACTACTAAGTTTACTACCCTATTTATACTCAAGACATCTAAGACTAAAGATGGATACATGTGACTCCTTAGCTAAAAAGGCAAAACCATAATTAGACATTGTTAAGGCTTGTTGCTTGTTTTCCTTTTCTTTGCTTCTGCTGTCCCTTCATCGGTTGCCGCTTCTTGACTGTTGACCTACGGTTTGTCAATCTACTGGTGTACACTTGGATGGGTTGGGCCGTATGGTGATCTATTACATGCCATTAGTGACCTTAGTCAATAACCTTATTTTTTTTAGAAAAAAAGACGAGGATTACTCATTTGTATTATTACTATTGTAATTTAGGACATTTTGCTGGAATTTATTGCTAAGCTAGCAACAAGTAAGGACAGCCCCTTTGGGCACTTTCTACTACGAAGTTTACAATAACAAAAAACAGTGACATCATGGTATGTACTTTAATCAGAAATGCATGTGAAGTATTTTCAGTGATCTAGAATCGTCATATTTACAAATTTGCAATAATGCAACATATGCCATAAAACAATTCCAGTGAGCTAGTTAGAACAACCACTATGGGCTAACACAACTTCAATAAAATGTAATCAGCATTTAGGAAGCAGAACATTAGAAGCATTAAAGTGACTTGAAAATGATCAAGAAATGACCACTAAATTGAAAAATTTTAGATCAGTGCATACCCGCCAGATAAAGAAAAATAAGTTTTTATCTGTGAAACACTCCAAGAACAGCTCTCTCCTTGTGACTCTCTGATTGCCTGTTCCAAGAGAGCACAAGCTGATATATGTGCACCAGCTGATTGCCCAACGAGATAGATTCTGTGTCCACAAAAGGCAGAAATCATTAATGATATGACAAGAAGCAAAACTTAAAAATTTTTAAATAGAATTTTAAGTCAAATACCTATCAGGATCACCTGCAACAGCGGCAATATTATTACAAACAAATGAGATGCCCTGGGAAACATCTTTAATCATGTCACTGATGGTTCCTTGAGGGAAATTTCTGCATAATAAGTTTGGTAGTATGAATATCTCATGATCATCAATCATGTTAGAAACATCTATGAATAAATGAAAAAAGACACACACGCACAAATTTAACACATAAGAGCAATAAGCTATAGCCTATTGTTCCCACTTCTCTTTAATGTAAATAATCTTAGTAAGATGTATAGCTGAATCAAAACGAGTCGGTTAAACAAATTGGAAGGATAAATTAATGTTTGTCATCACACAGCATATATACAGTTACAAATAAAATCCTTACCTATAGTCAAGGCAGGCCACTATGATGTCTCTTTCTGCCAATTGTAATCCAAGAAGGGAGCCCCACGCTTTGTACCTAAATCGGTAAGAAGAGAAAGAGATTAAAGAATGCTTAAGAAAGTTCATGTGAAATATCCCAACCAGTAATTACTTTAGACAAGCTTGAATGATTAGAACAACATTATAATTCTTTGAAAAACTTAAAAATTTTTGTAGCAGTCTCAATGTTCCATCTCATGAAATTGGATAGTAATAGAGCTTGTACACATGAAATTCTTCTAAGATCCATTTGTTTGTTAGACGAAAACACAAGAGCAATCAATAAGAGCATAAATCACGAGCCTTCTGCAATTTCGATTCAAACCTTTACTGATACAGACACATGAACTAATGTTGTTACAAAAATAACAGAGAATTTCCTCTTCCAACAAAAAATAATCATAACAATAATGATATAACTCAAAGTGAGTTCTAGACAAATTACTCACCCAATAATCCAGGCTCCCCCAGTGACAAATATCACAACTGGTTTCTTTCCATCAGGACCCATTGGTAAATAAAGATCTAGTCTGCATTATGACAATCACATCCGTATGACAACAAAGTAGTAAGAACTTATACATATATAGGTGAATAAAAAAGGGATTTAATTAGGATAAAGAGTAATAAAGCACAGTCCTAAGCTTCATTTATCTAAGATGACCTCTACTGTACTTACAGAACAAAATGATTCCTAACGTTGTTGGCACGTGTCTTACAAGAGTCACAAGTCACAACCAAAGACAAACAACATAAAGTGAAGAGACTGAAGACATACCTATTTCTTGGTTGATCTCCATAAATAATACTACGATGTACTTGGTTGGAAAAGTAATAACTATATGCCACTGCACAAAGAATGATTGAAGTTCATTATAATAATATTACAAAAATATAATAAGTAATGTTAAGTGTAAACACTTGCAATTTACTAGAAATAACCTGATTGCTGCATTTACTCATAACAATCAACTTACCTTGAAGAAAACCAGGTAAAAGTAGCATGGCATAACAGAGAAGAGCAAGTAGTCTAGTGATCCAGCGGTAGCCTACCCTGAACGAGCAAATGATTAGACACCAAAATAACTACTCAAGTAAAAAAAAGCTCAAAATTCAATTCAAACATGCATATCAATAACATGAAAGTCATACCAAGTACAAGATAGTAACAACCAGAACTTGAAACAACAAATCAAGCCCAAATAAGAAGGCATCCTCTCCAGAAGTTTATTTATAATTGAACTATTTTTTTATATTCCATATTCAATACTCATGACAATCAAGCACCATTGTTTGACTTTCAAATTCTGAAGTTATCATTGTTTCTAAGTGAAATACCACACCATTTAAAAAGCCTTTCTATATCGAAAAGAAAAAAAAATCACACACACACATTGGTAGTGAATTAGTGATCAACTGAACATGCCTCTAGATGAAATTTTTCCATTATCACACATCTTTTCTCCACTCAGTTGTACACTACCTTCACTACATGTACCAACTTTCATATTTCCCGAATTCTCCAAAGCACGACAATTTATCCAAAGAACCCCAAGATGTCTATTCACTTAAAATACCTACGTTAGCACATAACCATGGGCTTATGTATCTCTTCCATTCATCAACTTCACACCAATACATGTTTACTGAAACATACTCATAGGCACATCACATAGCCTTATTTACTAGTATGAAAACCACAGTTCTCTTGTTGTCTCAATACACAACCAGATATTTAAACCACTTCACAGGAAGTATCACATCCGCGTACCCCCAAATCAATCATATATTCACAAAATTACCCAACAATCATGCAATTGAAAAAACTCTTGAGCAAGAGTAGTCCAAGACCCACATACAAAATAACATGTTACATACTTACATGGTCACAATCCCTCATAAAATCACAACTAACACTGAATAACAGAATAAGAGTGAATATAATAGCAACATTGTAAATGAAGCACTCCTTAGGCTTAGGCTCCCATCATTCAAAACACGTGACAACTTTTTCCGGACATTACAGGATAGTAAGACGTAATCTAACAGAATCCCATTAAAAAAATTACAGAAAACAAACAATTCATCAAAATCAATAAATTTAAAAAATATAGAAAAATTACCCAAGATAGCGAAGAAGCTTGAAACTAAGTCCGGTAATCAGGTAAGTCTCAGCAGCAGCATGCTCAAAATCCTGCCGAAACGACGATTGCCTTGACAATGATTTGTTCCCAATACCGGAAATTCTCCGGCGGTGACTGTCAATTACCGGTTCCCGGTCACCCATTTCACTACTTTCTCTCTCCTCTTCTTCTTCGAAGGTGGTTGTTTTGTTATTGCCAAAAATGGAAACTTTTTCAGACCCCTCAAACGACGCCGTATCAGACTCCATTTTCGAAATTTAGCAGAGAGACGAAACCCAGGAAAATGGATCGATATAAAAAGAAAAAGAAAAAAAAAAAAAAAAAAAAAAAAAAAGAGGACGAATCTTGTTTGAGCGAATCAATAGCTGTATTTTTGTGGGTCCAAATTACTTTCCGTAAAAAATTAAGGATAAAATAAAAATATTCTTCGTATGTTTTTTGAGAAAGTTTTTTTGTGTGAGGCACGTGGAGGTGGGGCCATTAAGTGGAGACGTGTATTGATTTTATGAACCAAAAAAAAAAAAAAAAATCATAATAGAAAAAACAAAATTGTTGAAGGCAATTCTAGAAAGTTGAGGGTGTGATCTATTCATACACCACTATCATAAAGTTTTTTAATCTTGAAGATTTGTTTGTGGCCAAGTTTTATAAAGTTTTTAAGTTTTGAAAATTAAATTATGGTAAAGTGTAAAAAACTTGGACACTTATATGTGTTTTGTACTTATATTGGACTTTTACTTGTGTTAATTGCACGTGTTTTGTATACAATTGAGCTTGTAACTATGTTGACGAGTTAGCTTTGCAAAATTGATGAGTTTCCTTACCCTTCACTCTTACTTCCAAATGATCTTGCACGCTAATCAAAGTCAGATTAACTTATGACCTCTAAATCAATATGCTAGTATAAAAAACAAAAATTGTAGAAGTACAACTTTATATTAAGCCTTTTAATTTACAAAACTTAGGAAGTGATCTAAGAGTATTATTTAAAAGCAAACCTAAATAAATACCGTTTGGGCAGAGGGGGTTGCCACCTTTGGGCTTTGGTTGGTTTCTCAAAATATGCTTTTTAAAATAAAAAAAAATGGAGTGAAAGCTAAGTAAGTATGACAACGAAATAGTAGCTAGCTTTAGCAATGTTCCAATATAGCATGCTTCCGTAAACAAAACTCATGAAGGAGTGACCGAGTGATCAGACGACTGACGATACCCTCTATAAATCCCACCGCTCCATGTCCATTTCTTGTTTTCTATACCTAATATTATTATGACATACTTGTAATTAACTTCGAAAAAACTTGAAGTTACTCATTGATTTGTAATACGAAGTATTGGAATTTGTTGTTGAAGCTACTAAAAAGTCTATAATTGAAAAGTAATTTACGAGATGTTTATGTACAATAAGTTAATGAAATTGGTTTCTAAAATGCATAATGGTATGGTAGTTAGTGGTCTATACTCTAAGTCAGGTAGCCAACTTTGAAGTTGATCTAATTCGTGAGTGTAACATGGTACCTTGATGCATGGTACGGTAGTTATTGATCTATACTCTAAGTCAAGTGCGATATTGTTAGACTTAGGGTCCCTGGGGTGGTTTGAAGCTCAAATTAGAGCCCAATTAAACAATCCAATTTTTAGAGTACTTAGAGGTAAGTATCGAGAGACCGTAGAAATTTGATCAACGAATTTGCTCATCAAAAGCTATTTTATGTTGACTCGACTCATGCCCAACTCTATAAGTAATCAAAATTTAATGGCCTTCTAAACTCAAAAAAGAAGAAACACACATTCTATTCATACATGAGTTTAAGGGATCAAATAAGATAATGAGTAAAATCTAATGTCAATATGTTAAAGGTTTTTAGGAAACAAATTTAGAAAGATGTTCAAACACATACTAATTAAACATGCATGTCAACAAAGGTATAAAGAAAGAAATTTTGTTTATTACTATAATTACTTGCTAACTATAACGTATATCGAAATACCGTATTTTAGTAACTTTGTTCTAGACATGTCAGGAAACACAATGAGCATAGAAAAAAGGTCTTTCACTCCTGAAATATTGGACTCCACCTAATCCTGAAAGTTTTAGATCTTTACACAATGAGAATTATTTAATTTTAAGTGAAAGAAATCCAAACTCAAAATCATCATAATCAAATACCATAAAAAATACATCATTTAATTCCAAAATTTTAAACTCCATTTAAACCCGAAAGTTTAAGATCTTTATAAAAAATATTGTTTACAATAATATTTATTGTAAAAAAAATTCGAACTCGAAATCATCGTAATAAAACCTTACCGGACCAACCCGTTTGACAATCCTACTAACCTATTAATCACACTATCAACCATTCAACCCCCTCCGTGAATCCATGAGTCCAACCACTCAAGCCCATCGAAGTTGCTCAAAGTCCAAATTTCAGATTCAGTTTCCTTCTTTTCTATCCATCTCTTCTTTTTCCTTAACTCAGAAGAGAGAGAAAGAGAGAGAGGTCGTGAGTCAACTGCGAACAGCAAAAAAATCACTCGTTCACCATAGTTTCTAGTAGAATCTCAAATTTTGTGGAATTAATAAAAATGGGAGAAGAAGATGAAGGTGTTGATGCGCAAAAGATGAAAAGAATCGCAGCAGCTTCATACGATTATGAGAGAGATCCCAGATGGGCTGATTATTGGTCCAACATTCTCATCCCCCCTAATATGGCTTCGCGTTCTGATGTTGTTGATCATTTCAAGCGCAAATTCTACCAGCGTTACATTGTATACACTTATACCCCTTTTCAATTTTAATCAAATTATTCAATTTTAATGTTTTTGATTCTTTATACTATGTTTAATTTTCAATTAGATTAGTTTTTAGTTTGTGGGTATTGCACAATTTGATGTTTTGGGTGATGGGTTTGCTTTATTTAAAGGGTTTTGTTTCATATACTGGGTTTTGGTTGCTGGAGTTTCATAATTTGATGGTTTTATGGTTAAAGTTTGTGCCTTTGTTTGGATTTGGATTGCTATTGTGTTCTGTAATTTGATTTTGGTTTATTGGTAATCCCTAATTTTTTGGGGCGTTTGTGGTTTGCGTGCTGATTTTATTTTTACTATTTTTGGATGCTGATCATACTCAAAAATCGATTGGTTGAAGTTGGCAGAATCATGGGTTTTTAGTGAACCTCTGAATTTCAGCATGTATAATTGGCTTCAGTTTAATCATGTAAGGGGTTAATGATTGCATAGATGTGTTTCAGTTACTCATAATTTGTCCTTCTAGTGTTCATAGCAAACTTCGAAATCGACTTGTGAGTTGCTTTTGATGAAACTACTTGCGTAATTCTCTATTATTTGTATATCCTTTCTTGTGAGCTAGGTTATTTGGTGTATGACCTCTTTTATACTTAAATGACATTCTTTTTTATGTTTGGATGTTCCAATAAAGCACTTGATGATAACATCATATTCAATTGGAAAATTACTGGTGATCATGGAGGTCAAGAGGTCATATGTTTTCAATTATTCGTGGGATTCATGCCTTGACTAGAAATTGTTGGCATAGCCATGAACAATGGGCTTAAAGAGTGGTATTAATTTTGGAGGTCAAAAGGTCAAATGTTTTCAATTATTTGTGGTATTCATGTCTTGACTTGAACTTGTTGGCATAGCCATGAACAATGGGCTTAGAGAGTGGTATTAATAGTAAAGCTTTCTCAACTATTGTCAAAGTTGCCTAATGAAGAAAAATTAAAGGAAATATATACAAGGAGCCTCCCAGTGAATAAGGCATAGCTAGAAAAATTATAGAATTGCTGTTCATGTTGTCTTATTCTATCATGCCATATCTTAGCTACAATGTCGAGTATACTTTGGGCCATTAAAATATTTAGGCAGTTTCTCTATTTTTGTCTTTGCTTTTGGGCTTGACATTGGTTAAGTATATGAATTCTTTTTTTGCGCTATGATGGTCCTACTAATAAGGAGGTATATGAATTACATAATGTAGAGTTGTTGTACTAACAATATAGGATAAGCTTGATGAGTTTTTCTGCTATCTGTGGTGCTTTGTCTTATTGAAAAATAACTTTTGCATTAAATAAATATGAAGAACTTAATTTTTTCTTTCTGCTGCTGCTATGTACACTGAATCTGTTATATACATGAAAAATCTGTCATATTCCTGCATCTTGCGTATTTGGTCTTTTATTATTCTTTAGTTACCTATTGTTGTCCAATCTTGATGTTGTTTGGATGCTACTGCATTGCCAGGACCCTGGTCTTATTGTTGAGCCAATGTCTTCAACTGGTTCCTCTCAGCCAGTGAAACCATCATCTTCATCATCAGCATCAACACCTACAAGCGATCAAGTGAGATCTCGTAGCTCTGGTATGCTATGAAAGAAGTACTGGTAGATACTTTACATCCATCAAAAGTCCTGTACATACACTGATAGTTCCTTTCATTTTCAGGCACTAGTACTAGAACCTCTGGATCTGGAACATCAACAACTCCCAGTCCTGGTCCAGCTCCAACTGCAATGCGCTGGGATAAGCAAACCATACAATTTTCTGTGAATGCCTGGGTATGCAAATTACTCAAAGGTCATTAAAATGTGTGTACCTTGTGTACAGACACATCAGACTACTTCATGTTGCCAATTGTTAATTATCTTCCCTTCTGAAGTCAGAATTATAAAAGGGATCAGCTATATACGTTCACTTAGATGATTTGTTGGTTATCTTGTTCCATATCTGCTTCTCTTAATTATATGCTGGTCCTTAATGCTAGAAATAAAAGTTAGCATGATACTTTATACATTGCAAATTTTGAAAAAATCAAATATTGCCAGACATTTGAAACCATGGAGGCATCTGTATTTAAGAAAGATTACTTTACAGTAATACAGTGCTTTTATTTTCTGACATGAAGCTTAACTATTTTTAATTGCAGTGTCTATTTGGTAATATTATATACATTTTGCCCTTTCTTTGCAGGTGTTTGTCTTAGCCTTACTTTCAACCCTTCCCCTTATTCCTGCAAATCTTTCAAACAGGGCTTATCGCCTATCTTTACTGGGCACTGCATGTTCGTCATTATATTCTTTGTACTCACTATATGGGGTAAGCATATTTCAGTTTCCTCTCCTTTACTATATCTGTTTAATTACTCTATCTAAATCTCTGTTTGAGTACTCTGCAGACCCCCAGGGCATGGAATATGCAGGCTGTTCAAATGTGGTTGCAGTCAATACTTGCAACGAAGGACTTTATTTACTTCATTTACTCCCTCATGTTTGTTACATCAAATTATTGCCTCCGGTGTGAGTGTCTGTTTATTGTTTGTTCATTAATGCACACATGTATGTTGCTATTACAGTTTCACCTGACGTGCTAATGTCAAAATATCTCGCAGTTGCTTTAATTCCCATTCTCTGCCGATCGCTAGAACATGTTGCCAAGTTTCTCAGGCGTAATTTCAGCAGTTCTACTTTATACAGGTAGGGAATTTTCATCTTCGCACTGGATTCATTCAATGTGTGCTAGTTTATCTGAATTGTGGGACTAAGATTGGGTACAACCAAGCAGCTTGAGTTATATTGGCACTTAATCTTGCTGATAAAGATTCAGAGGTTATAGTTAAGTTTAGGTCTGATTCATGCATTCATGTTATTGGTTCTCACTAAAGGATGCTAGACCAAAAACAAAGCAATAGGTCATCTGATCCGTGGATGGTTTGGTGGTTTTATACATTGTATTGTTTGATACTTTGAGCCCTTATTTGAGGAAAAGCATGATTTTATTTGTTTATGCTGAAGTTCAACTGAGGTTATGGTCAAAGTGTTAGTTTTTGCCTTCTTAGATGTGGTGCAAGGCTTTCTCTTGGAGCATTGTTACATACAAAGTATATTTGTGGGGTCATGACAAGTTTTTACTGCTTAAGCTTTTGTGATTGCTGCTTGACAAGCGATAACACCTCGTTGAAATTGATCTAAATCACTAAAAGTAGCCTACATTGAAGAAACTTTATCATCAGCTTGATTTTATAGGTTATGTATTAATGTTCGATTTAACTTACTTTACATGGATCATTACTGCTTTTCAAGTATTCCTGGACCAAATCATAATCATTTGTAGATTGTGGTGGTTCTTGAGTGTAAAGAGTTGAATTGATTGTTTTTTGGATGAACTTTTCTCATTACATTTGTTGTTTCTTAACAGAAAATACTTGGAAGAGCTTTGCGTATGGGTGGAATCTAATGTAACCACCCTCAGCATATTGTCCTCACATGCTGAGGTTGGACTTGGTTTCCTTCTCATCATCTCCTTATTCACGTGAGTTAGCTTTTCTTTTCATCACTTTCCCCTTTGTCAATTTCTCCATTCTCTCTCTCATTTCTATTCTGTTAACCAATAACCTTGCTTATATCCTTGCAGATGGCAGCGCAACTTCATCCAAATTTTCATGTACTGGCAGGTATGTTACATTTGTAATTGTACTTCGTATAACATTTGAACACTTATATCTGTGGGTGGGGAGCCATGCTTAGCTTGCCTCCGCATACTTGTAAATTTGTAATGTAAGCTAACAATGTGCCTGAATTCTTGATGCAGCTGTTGAAGCTCATGTATCATGCCCCTGTTACCGCTGGTTATCACCAAAGTGTATGGACTAAGATAGGAAGGAGCGTCTCCCCTGCCATTCATCGCTATGCTCCATTCCTTGACACGCCCATTTCTGTCATTCAAAGATGGTGGCTCAGGTAGACCTGATGATTGTTGATAGTATATCGTCTAAAGATTTCAAGTTCTTCCAGAGGCTTGATGACATGCAAGGATGAGGATTGAAGGAGCCAACCTAGTTAAATGGTGTGGAGGATTTTTTTTTTTTTTAATTTGAGGGATCAATGGCAGAATTTCTCTTTCTTAACACTACAGTATCCTACCTTGATGGCTTGACTGACTTTAGATACTATTTTTGGGTAAGTTTTGGAATACGAGTACTAGTCTTTGATGAGAAATTTAACATACAGAATAGTCTTGAGATTTTACGACATTGATTGAAGCAATTTGTTGGTTTCACCTTGCATTAATTTTGTGTAACCTACATGTTTCTACGATGGCTGTAAAGTCTCAACAGAAAAAAATAGTTGAGGTTAGATTTTCCTGTCTTGTGAAATTTATCATGAATTATATATTGGGAAGTAAAAAAAATGTCGCCGGCAGGGGAGGGGGGTAGCTGGTGGGAAAGGGAGGGAGTATTTTTTAATTATCAGAATAAAAATAAAAATAGATATTTTTTTTAAATTATCAGAATAAAAATAAAAATTAAATTAACCAATGAGGACATGACACGTGGATTGTAACTTGGTATACGTTGGGGTTGCTATGGGTGAAAAATTTCGAACTTAGATTTATATTAGGTAGATTTAAAGGTTGGATTATTTTGAGAGAACGGAGCAAAGGTTGGATTATTCTTGTTAAATTTTCTATTAAAAACCGTTAAAAGTGATGCTTCTAAAGTTGAATGAACGCCAAAGAAACTCTGGGCCGTCAAAAGTATTCCAATTCATGGTGATTGATGACCCGTAACATTGTGAAGTGTATGTATAATGTATAACAAGTTTAAGTTATTACCTCAAAACCAAAAACAAGCAAAAGAGATCCTCGGTGAGATGACAGAAAAGAAAAATTAAAGGGACATGGTTTTCAAGGTATTCGAATTACATTCAATTAATGCAGCCAATATAGAGCATCAATCAAACGCATAAATATAGATGTCCGTATTCATCCAATAAAGAGTGCTAGTGTTGTGTTGTGTTGGTCAACAATGGATCTGCCGATAAGAAAATATTTATCCAATAATTCATTCTTGTAAGACAGAACGATATTTCTATAAAATTTGAGCTTTGATAATCTAGTCAATTTCAACCCAAAATGAAAAATAATTCACAAAAATCCCACACAAGATTTCCCAAGTACTTGCAACAAACTACAGTTTATAGCTGGTGTCAAAAAAAAAAAAAAAAAAACCTACAGTTTATAGCTACACTACACATTGTATTCTTTTAACCACGCTTTATCACAAGTTTTGCACCATTAGGGATTTTATCTTCGAGACTCTTAGCGCGGAAGAAAGCATATTCAATTGGCTCCATATGCATCAATGACATCACGTCCAAAATTACCTCACTGAGCACAACAGAATTCGCCAGCACACAGGTGATAAATTCATTATCAAGGCGACTTCCGTAATAGCCAAAAATCTCTTAAGTCTTTAAGCATTTGAGGGGGCATCCTTCACACTTTTGAAATTTCATTGAGGGGAAACCCGTACCGTCAAGCTACAATAAGAGAACGAGGTGAATAGGGTTAATAAAATCACAGCTTTTGGCAAATGATCCAACAAATCAGCATTTTAGTGAGAAAAAACCATTTTTAAATATGCAAGAAAATGGGGATACAAAGCACTTCATCAAATCACGAAAATATACTGATTACTTTGTATGATAATATAATATAATCTCTTAAGCTATATAGACAAATAAACAAAAGAAAGCCAGTATTTTACAACGCTTTTAAGTTTAGAAACAGGACTGGGGTAGGGTAGCACAATAAAAGGTGGGCTCTAACAAGCATATCCACAGCCGGAGGGTAGTACTCCCTTTGTCTCTTAATTATCACACTTTGTTTGGCAAGGTGTAAGGAAAAAGTGAAGGAACCTTTTTCTCAAGGGTGGTCTGAAGTCAGTCAACGACAATCGCAAATTAACATATGAAAGAACCTAACCACATAGGAGATGTGAGATAAAGAATGACTAAGTAGTCAGTTATATATAACAAATGGAGAAAAAAAAGGGAAAGACAGGTTGTAAATTAATCAAAAACAGAAATGTATAACTATTAGGACACATTTTATAGGAAAATGTCCAAACGTAGATGGATAAAGGGAGTAATTTCTTAAAAAAGAGAGAGATCATATTCGATGTGTGTGGTGAACAAGATAATAATGACAGCAACAATGAAAGTAAAGATTTGCGACTATTGCTCAAGGCAATACCATGGATAATAAGCTAGAAGAAACTGATTATTCAAGCTGTATTAGATCAATATCACAGCATATAATTAAACTCTTAACATCACTAACCAAAAGCATGAGCAAAGGGAAGGGTGACTTGCCTTCAAAGTCAGTTTCTGCAGGATAGGACAAGCGTTAATCAGAGGGATCCATCCGAGGAGGGAATCGTCAAAATCAGCCACAACATACAGCTCAAGATGCTTCAGATTTGGGAAGGCAGGTGAGTGCTCGATCGCTAGATTATTCTGCATAAAAAGAAGTTAACAGTAAGCATACACATAAACACGGAAGCTGCAACAACACAAAACATGTTGAATAGAATAACAAAGCTAACCCCATGAATTAAGCACATCCGCAGTTGTAGATACTTCAATTGTGAAAGATATATTGCCAAAGGTTCAAAAGCATATGCTACTTCGACACGTCTATCACCACCAACAGATAGCTCCAAAGTGAGGAGGCACTTCAAATATTGAACTCAATAGGGTCACCAAAATATGTTAACGACAAGAGCTTTGGAGCAGATACATCAATTGTTTGCATATTAAAGCAGTATAAAACTTTTCAATGCTTCAAAGGTAGTGACAAGGAAGCAGAGGTTACACTAGTTAAAATTTCTGAACACTCAAGGCACAGATTCTCAAGGAGCTGGCAGGAATCCAAAAGAAGCTTCACAGTTTCATTTGAAACATTAACATAATTTAAATGCAGAGATTTTAGGGTAGGCTTAAGTCAGCTGTGTATAGATACTTAGGAGGTAAGAAGCTATTATTGACATGACGTCTCCGGATGAACAACAATGCAGGATAAAAGTCTAATTCGAGCTTATTGAGTTCCCTAGCCGTTGCAAAATTCACCCACTTATCAATATCAAATTTGCAAAGATTATCCAAATCAAATTTTATCCTCATTTCATCAATATCACCCAGAGATTGTTCCAAGACACGATTCACAAAGCTAGTAAAGCAACATCTTTCCGAGTCAACTATCTCATCCTTGCTCATTGAAGCTATAATCCTATCCATTGCCCTTGAATCTTCAAAGTTCAACTTGAGAACATACTTCCACAAGCACATCCATCTGTGGGAAAGAATACCAGTTTGAACAGCTTGCTTTATTGTCAGAAATGACAATATAAGCCCCAAAATTTGATCGGGAAGCTCACTCAGACGATCATTTGTCTCGTAATCCTGAGTGGTTGTAATTGAAACATAAGATTAAAATCAAAACTACAAGATGAAAGAAGAAAGGATAATTTCAAACGAGTTGACGCGGCACGCAAATGCCATCAAACTAGCACTATAGACAAGTACATGATATCAGGAAAAAAAATGCACCTTTTGGGATTTGAGAACTGGCCTTGCTTTAAACTTGTCCATCAGACAGATCAAAACGCGAAACTAACACCACCAAGGTTCCTTGAGTTGACTGAAAAGAACTTTTAAATTTTATTTCTTAGAGGCTAAAATGCCATACACATAAAGGAAAATTTAGAAGATTGTGCTGTTAATACAACCTATGAATGCACACAATAAAACAGGTCCTCCATCAAAACCATTCGGATTAAAATCATACTTGAGAGACACATTAAAGCCTTTAGAAGCTAAATTATGATTATATTCATAAGACTTTAGAAGCAAAATCACGATTGTATTCATACGACTTTAGAAGCTAAATCACCATCATATTCACAAGACTTTAGAAACTAAATCTGGTACTTTGTATAAGTCATACTATCAAAAACCAACTACTCAAGCCCGTCCCTGAGGCAGGGCAGGAGGGGCGGCCGCCCTAGGCCCAGGGAAAAGAGATTTGATTTCATATTGAATTATCTCAAAAAATACATAATTTTAGGGATATTTGATTCAATAATCAAATTACGCTCATAATTTTCTTTTCTTTTGGATATGATGTTTCATAATCTAAGAATTTACGAACCCTAAACTTAAAGCACTGATAATTAAATTAGATTAGATCAAATATAAACCCTAGATTGTGAAATTGATATGATGATAACAACAATAAACAACTTACCTTAGAAGCTGCTTCAATGGGGAATACAAGAATCAGATTCAACGGAGAACGCTTCAATGGAGAACGTTGAGTGCACTCCAATGAAACACTCCACATGTACCTTTATTTTTGCCTTTTTTACTGTGCGCGGTCTCCAAGACACGTGTTAAAACGTTTATATCTCCATTTTTATACGCATAAAATTTATAAAAAGTTAATAATATTAAGTAAATTTATGATGAGACGAATCAAACAAGATCTCACCTGACTATATATCATTTAGTAGAATAATAGGAATTTCTGGTCATAGTTTTTTAAGTTTGACTCATATTTTGGCAATGGAGCAAAAAATAGGGATGAGGGAGTAACTTAGAGAGGTTAGAAATAGGAATGGAGGCCTTTAAAAGCCATGACCCACCATAATTATAATATGGGTTATATCTTTATATGATCGTCTAATTATGAGACAAATGGGTTTTATAAAGTTTTATGTAAACATATTTTAAATATTTTTATACACCAAAGCTTGTATCAATTCTTTATAAGTTTTTTAGATTTTTTTTTTTAAAAAAAAAACAGCTGAAATTACATTAATTAAACTGCGTTTACAACAAACGAAAGGGCAGTAAGTAACATAAGTTACTATTAGCATAAGAAGCCCTTACACAATATCAATTAAGGTCATTAACGATATTTACCTTTAAGCTATTACAACGAGTGAGGACAATGCATATAAAGCTTACCAATATACATTTAAACATGCGATGGGATTATTGATAGAACGAGGGAAGTTAGTGATGATGTTTCGTGTTCTGCAAGGTATTTTCTAACATATAATTAAAAGTCTATGAATGTTGCTGAGATGACGAAAACAACCCAAAATTAGTATGTCATACCCTAAGGGACCCAATAATTCAAATGGATAAAATCTTCTTGAGATCTATGCTTCATACATGTCAATCACATTTCTTTGTGATCTAACAAAACCATATTTTATACTCCCTCCGTCCCATAATATAGTTCCTATTGTGTGTTTTTCACGATATTTAAGAAATGGGAGGAGAAGTATAAAAAAAAACTAGACAAAAGTAGAAGGCAAGTGGATAATTTAAGGGGAAAAGAGTAAAAAGTACAATTATAGACAAAAATTAGAGAGAGAAAGTGAAAGTGAAAAAAGTACAATGTAAGTGAATAAATTAAGGGTAAATTAGGAAGTTCAATGAATAAAGTAAAAAATAAGGGTATAATGGTCTTTACATACTATTCAAAAATAGAAACAGGAACAACATTTTGGGTCTTTAAAATAGGAAAACAGAAACTATATTGTGGGATAGAGGGAGTATATATTTTCATACAAGGTCATGATATTGTAATGACTTTTACCGATATCACATACAAATGGGTTTAACAACACCTACTACCATCCTCCTTCTACAAGGGTTTATGTAAATCTGAAACTGAAATTTTGCTACATCTCCCAACAAACATAAGTAACACCATTTCCATTAAAGGAACACATTTTTATTAAAACTAAAGAGATTAAAAAGGGCAATTCCAAGAGTCAAACAACTCTATTTCATCCTCCAATTAATTCTGAATTCGACTTGTTTTCGCTTTTCAATCTATTATATTGGGTGCTTCAAAAATCTAAGTTTTATTTTTTAGAAAAATTCACTTTAATTTATTAATCCGAACTTTCAGCGATTTACTCTCAATAATCCCAACTTACATTTATTAGGGAGTACCATGAACTTTTGGGTTGATTTTCTTCCACTAGATCGATTTACCAGTGACTTAAAAAAAGGGTGATTTTTATTTTGTAAAAGCCATGTGTGATGTGTTACAACAAAATTGGTCCAATTTATTTTTTTTGTAAAAAAATAATTAAAAACCCTTCCCAGCCAGCCACCATCCTTCCTCCCCTTAGCCCCAACCCCAGCCCGACCGAAATTCGACAGCCCGCCTCCCCTAGCAACCGATAACAGTCGGTCGGCCCCTCCCTACCCCTAAAAACACTCGGGTGACCCACCTACACCATCTAAACCACCCCCCTTCCCCCATCCCAAAGTAGCCCCTCCCTTCTCAGGTCGATGAAATCGCCCCTCCTCCCTTCCCTCGTCGTTGAAATGGCCGATTTTTTAGCTCCCTCAATTGGAGATTATTGCCCATAAATTAAATGTAGTTGTGTTACTCAAGGTTTTTGTGGTAGATTTTTTTAGATTTTTTTATTTTTTTTTACCAAAAAGATAAATAAATAAATGGTAGTTGTTCTCAAAGTAGTCATTATAATGGTAGTTGTTGGTAAAATTTTCTTAAATTTTCACAAAATTACCCTATATATAAAGTATAATACTCCCTTCGTCGCTTTTTATTGGATACGTTATGACTTTTACACGTTTGTCAATACACCTATTTGATTATTATTCATTACATACTTTTTTTATAACGATTGAATATTAATAAAGCATTCGTTGAGACGAATCAAACATGATCTCACATGACTCATTTACTTTTGTGAGTAAATTTGAAGATAATCTAATACTCCTTTTATCCCAGAATACATGACACAGTCAACATTGCACACATGTCAATGCACTACTTTGAATTTATTTGTATATAATTAAATATTAATGAAAATTATTATTTTAAAAATTATATTTTGAAACTTTATATATATACCTATTTAACAACATGTTTATGATAAAATATGTTTTTATTATGTTAGTAAAAAAATATCATCAAAACTAATACATGAATAGTGAAAAAAGTCCAACGTCTCATATATTTTGGGACGGAGGGAGTATTATAAATAATGTTTAAAATCTAAACATAACCAATAAAAAGAAACGGAGGAAGTATTATGAATAGTATTTAAAATCTGATAATAACCAATAAAAAGAATCGGAGGGGTACCCTACAAAATTAATCATCCTAAAGTTTTTGTCAAAAAAAAAAAAATCATCCTAAAGTAATTGAAACACTTTAATATACATTTTGTTGATACATAACATTATTTTACCTTTAATAATTTTGATTGTATATTTATTATAATTAGTTGATACTATGAAATTTTATACAATGTACCAATTTTTTTGTGCATATTATTTATAGAAGTCAAGTCAATCTCCTAAAATAATTATGTCGATTAAAGTGATGCGCACTTTAAAAAACGGAGGGATTATTTTTCTTGCATTAAATGTCTGAATTTATTATAAAATGATTTATTATAATTGTAGTTAAATAGAGATATCTTAATGAATGTTATTTTTTATAGTAATAATTTATATCAAAGTTATCAAAATCGAGATTCCACTTTGAATTGGAAGGGATTTAGATGTGTATGCATTACTGATGATAGTAGTCGTTTCAGAAATTTTTCTACAAGTTTTTATTTCCCACTTGAGAGGGTATTTTCTTGTTTTAGGCTTAGAATATTTGAATTATGCAATTTTATTTTGACAATAATTATTTTTACGATATAAGAGAATTCGAGTCAGATGATTTTTAGTGGTTGTGACTATTCGCCATAATTTTATTTGTTATGTATGCATGTATGAATTTTTTTAATATTTGCATAGTATCATATTAGATATTTTATATACTTTGAAAATTGAAGTGACATCATTATAAGAAGATTATGATTCTTGGATTATTTGATAAATTCTATTTAATGACTTGTTTACAAACATGATAAGAAGTGATAATTTAATTATGACATAATACTTTTATTTAAAGTGAACTGAACCATGTAATTATTTTATTATAAGGAACAAGAAAAAATTAATGTAACCTTAATTCAATTTTATAAGAAAGAGCTACATTTATTATTTATGAAATATGATTATTATTTACTTCTCACTCATATTTATAGATTGGAACAAGTAAATTTAATACTCTTTCATACAATGAGTTGAGTCAAAAAAAGATTTCAATGTGTAATTATGCACATTTTGTGTGTGTCATAACCATATAATAAATTGAGTAATCACGAAATTAAAGGGCGAATGCAATAATTATTACATATAACTATTTAAATATATGATATTTAAACATATGATATTCCAACGGATAAATCACAAAAGAAATTCAAAAGAGGTGTGTGAATAGTGGAAAAGTGTAAATAATGCAATTAAAATAACGGATGAAGTAATTAACAAATTACATAAGATTATTCATCAATTAACAAATTACATAAAATTATTTATCAATTAACAAATTACATAACTATTTATAATTATAAAAATTATTCAACAAAAGTATTATCATTTTGCCCCGAACCCCCGAAATATTAGAACGACTATGAGTATTACCTTGAACTCGAATGATGAAATATAATTCTTCTCATTCATTTAACACCAGAGTTCAAAATTTCATGAAACTAACAAATACTTGGTAATTGTAAACTACGTTACCGATAAATAATGGATTAAAGAATGCAATAAGCTCCTTATCCACATTTTTGATTGCAATAGTGAGTTCAATGTACATCAACCAAAATCAAAATACACCTAATATAGGATGAAACTAGGGCAACCAATGCAACACCCTCCTGGCCGCTTGAGCACGCTTCATCATCCTCCGGGCCTGACTGGCCGTAGCGTCGAGTCGGATGAAGAACTCGACATGCTCTCCAGCAAGTCTGTCTGCATAGTGAAACTCGTTGATGTTGACCACAACGATCATCTCAGCGTCGCGTATGAGCTGGTCGAGCTGCAACCTCATGCCCAATGCGAAGTCCGACTGCACCCTAGCATTCTCAATGAATGTTTTTTTCTAATTCCATAGTAGTTCCGTCTTCACGGCCTCCTCAAGTAGAAATGGGGGCGGAATGTCTGAAACGGGGACCTCCATTTTCGAAGGAGAGAAAGCAGGTGCATATTCGGCCATGGTCAACAAATCGATTTTCTTTGTTTTGAATTTTTGATTTTTGCATATCGTACACCGACTTTATAAAGTTTAAATGGCGATGATGTTGATGTTATTGTTTCAATTGGGCCGGTATTTGTTTGTTTTGGGAATGCCTCATTTGGGAGTGCCATGCAAACCAAGCTATTTTTTTAGCATGTAAAACGAGTCATTTTCAATAATTTTTATATCAAATTGTTACAAATTGTAATAAAGCATATAATATATTATTTATAAAAGATCATTCCACAATAATTCATTAGGTAAAATCAAATCATTTACATTAAGCAAGTTAAATCTATTACACAATAAATCTACCTAATTTAGCTACTAACGATATCCATAATAAATCGCATACTATACTCTTTACATTAAGTACATCAAATAACAATATTTGTTAAAAGAAAATTAAAGTAATATTCAACGTTTTTTTTATGATATATTCTTATTATATATCATATATTCATACCTTTTATTAACAAGTATTTTTGTATGAATGAATATTGATTTTCAACCTTATTACAACATCTGTTGCACTCATTTGGTATTCAATTTGGATGTTTATGTTTCAATCTTTTTGCATTTTCATAGCTACTTAGTAGGTTATACGAATTACTTTATAAAGTTAATTACAAGTCAAAAAATCAAGTTATGTTTTGCTGTGTTGCGGAGAATGTGGACTATTTGCAATGAGAGTCCTAATTAGCACATGCACAATTATTTTGTTTTTTTTAAAAACAGACATATTACCATGCCTATATCGTTAAACTAGCAATTAAATTTGTTCTTTTACTTCAAAATTTGACAACTGATAAGGAATGTGAATCAGACAATGGATTTTCTAACGAGACATGCATCTACTGGAGTTATTGATGATGAAATTGGGTTAGACATTGCTGACAAGTTGTGGACTCTAAGTGTATCTTAAATACTCCATGAAATAAATTAGATAAATGGTAAAAATTGTAAAGATAAACTACGTTTAGTTCACTATTCTATTTTATTAATATTTTTACTCTATTAAATGAGTTTATGTTTACATTTTGTATTATTCATAATTTTATCAAGTCTCCTATATTTTGTTTCATATTTGATAAATTTTTTTTGTCATGAGTTATTTGTTATATAACTAGATAATTAATGTATAATTTGTTTTAAACTTAGCCCTAAACTAGTTTAGAAATAATCTTCAAAAGATATCCCGGGGCATTGCACGGGCACATACTAGTACCCGTAATTATGTACGATTAAATGATTAATCACAATGTGGAGACGGGGAGTGGCGTAGAAAAAAAGTACCCCGTAGGAAAATTAATTTGGGGTTACAGCGTTCCCCCCTTTTTCTCTCCTGTTCTACAGCGTAGTCCGAGTTCTCTTCATTGAAACGCCTTTTCAGTTTTCCTCTCTTCTCAAATGGCTTCTCAGGCAATTTGGTTCATCTTTTTTTTTTCTTTAATCAGTGAAGTTCAATTTCACTAGGGTTTCGTTTATTTAACTGTGATTATAGTCAATCTAGGGTTCTTTGTAGGTGGATCATTGAACTTTTGGTTATAATTTCTCAACTTATGGAATTTTGTTGCTACCATTTTTCAATCACCAATTTACTTAGATATTCTTAAGATTAGAAGAATTTTATGTGATTTTTAAGGCTCGAAAAAATTTAAATGTTAAAATTTAGGCTCCAATTTCCCAAGTTACAATTTTTTAAGGTTAATTATAACATTTTAAATTATGATAAACCTCAATTTAACCTTATAATTATATTGCTGCCAAAAGTTAATTATTTTAAGGTTTCATGGTATTGGTTTTGAATGATGAAAAAGGTATAGCTTGGAATTTTGGTAGATTGGAGGGCCATGCTAGACTTAGTTTTGTAGCACTTTGCAATGAGTAAAAGTTACTAGCAAAACATGTATCACAGTAGCAAACTAGCAGCTGTTATAATAACATCAGAAAGATCCTTTTGAAGGCGCTTGAAAGTCGAAACATTTAAATCAGTTAAAAAATAGGAGGGCTAGTTATTCTTTTTCAAGTATAATTTGCTGACATGTAAGTGCATTATAGATAAGCTTGGTTCACATGAAATACTAAATTCAAGTCTATGTAGACTTTGCTTACGGATATTGATAAGAAGATTTGTAATACAAATGATATTACAAAAGGTGCATTTTTACCTTTCTATTCCTGATATCATGTAGTTGTCTAAGTGCTAGTTTGATGGCATTTGCACACAGCTTTAACCCGTTTGCGATTATCTTGTCTTCTTTTCCTTCTTTGATCTTGTGGTTTTGAAGTTTATCTTATGTTTCAATTAAACCACTCAGGATTACGAGACAAATGATCGACTGAGTGAGCTTCCTGATCAAGTTTTGGCGCTTATATTTGTCGTTTATGACAATTAAGCAAGCTGTTCAAACTTGTGTTCTTTCCCACAGATGGATGTGCTTGTGGAAGTATGTTCCGAAGTTGAACTTCGAAGATTCAAGGGCGATGGATAGGATTAAAGATTCGATGAGCAAGGATGAGATAGTTGACTCGGAAAGATGTTGTTTTATTAGCTTTGTCAATCGTGTCTTGGAACAACCTCTTGGTGATATTGATGAAATGAGGATAAAATTTGATTTGGATAATCTTTGCAAATTTGATATTGATAAGTGGGTGAATTTTGCGACAGCAAGTGAACTCAATAAGCTCGAATTAGACTTTTATCCTGCATTGTTTTTCACCCGGAGACATCCTGTCAATAACCGCTTCATACCTCCTAAGTATCTATACACACTTGACTTTAAGCCTACCCTAAAATCCTTACGTTTAAACTATTTATGTTACTAATGAAACTGTTAAGCATCTTCTGGATTCCTGTCAGCTCCTTGAGAATCTGTGCCTCGAGTGTTCAGAAATTTTAACTAGTGTAAGCTCTGCTTCCTTGTCACTACCCTTGAAACATTTAAATGTTTCTTGCTGCTTTAATATGCAAACAATTGATATATCTGCCCCAAAGCTCTTGTCGTTGACATATTTTGGTGATCCTATTGAGTTCAATATTCGGAATGCCTCCTCACTTTTGGAGCTATCTGTTGGCGGTGATAAACTTATCAAAGTAGCCTATGCGTTTGAACCTTTGGCAATATATCTTTCACAATTGAAGTATCTACAACTGCGGATGCGCTTACATAATGGGGTTAGCTTTGTTATTCTATTCATCCTGTTTTGTGCAATTGCGGCTTTTGTGTTTATGTATATGCTTACTGTTGACTTCTTCATATGCAGAATAATTTAGCGATCGAGCACCCACCTGCCTTCCCAAGCCTGAAGCATCTTGAGCTGTATGCTGTGGCTGATTTTAACGAATCCTCCTGGGATGGATCCCTCTGATTAAGGCTTGTCCTATTCTGCAGAAACTGACTTTCAAGGCAAGTCACCCTTCCTTTGCTCGCGCTTTTGGTTAGTGATGTTAAGAGTTTGAGTAAATGCTGTCATATTGATCTAATAAAGATTGAATAATTAGTTTATTCTAGCTTGTCCAGTATCCATGGTATTGCCTTGAGCAATATTCGTAAATCTGTACTTTCATTGTTGTTGTCATTATTATGTTGTTCACCACGCATCGAATATGATCTTTCTCCTTTTTTTTTATGAAATTACTCCCTTTATCCGTCTACGTTTGGACACTTTCCTATAAAATGTGTTCCAATAGTTATCCTATGTGGTTAGATTCTTTCATATGTTAATTTGTGATGTTCGTTAATTTTGACTTCGGACCACCCTTGAGAAAAAGGTTCCTTCACCTATTCCTAACACCTTGTCAAACAAATCTGATCATTAAGTGACAAAGGGAGTACTTCATTAAGAGACAAGTGGAGTACTACCTTCCGGCTGTGGATATGCTTGTGATCAGAGCCACCTTTTGTATGCTGCCTTGTCTTTAAACTTAAATGTGCTGTAAAATACTGGCCTTCTTTTGTTTGTTCTTTGTAGCTTAAGAGATTGATATTATCATACAAAGTATTCAGTATATTCGGTAATTCGATGAAGTACTTGTATCCCCATTTTCTTGCATGCGTAAAAAATGCTCTTTTCTTACAAAAATATTAATTTGTTGGATCGTTTGCCAAATGCTGTGATTTTATTAACTCTATCCACCTCTTTTTCTTATTGTAGCTTGAGGGTATAGGTCAGCCCCCATTGGAATTTCATAAGTGCGAAGGATGCCCTCTCCAATGCTTAAAGACTTTAGAGATTTTTGGCTATTACGAAGTCGCCTCGATAATGAACTTATCACCTATGTTCTCAGTGAAGTAATTTTGGATGTGACCTCATTGTTGCTTATGGAGCCAATTGAAGATGCCGCCTTCCGTGCTAGGAAGCTCGAAGATAAATTTCCAAATGGTGCAAGATTTGTTATATAAAGCTTTCCAATATTGACGAGATACTATCGTTAATTACTTGATCACACTAATCTTAATACCCGTGCTGGTTAGAAGAATATGATGCGTAGCTATGAACTGTAGTTTGTTGCAAGTTCTTGGGAAGTCTTGTGTGGGATTGTTGTGAATTAGTGGGTATTTTAATATTTGTTTTCGATTTTGGCTTGATATTGACTAGGATATCAAAGCTCAAATATTATAGGAATATCGTTCCGTCTTACATTCATACTTCAAGCTTCATTTCTGGGAGTGGATTATTGAATGAAAATTTCGTTATTGGAAGAGCTATTGTTAGCAGCCCTGTTGTTGTGGTTTTGTAGCTTGCGTATCAAGGCATTTTTTATGATATTGCTGATAATTCGATTGTCTGTTTAACCTCTTTTAATGTTTTTTCAGTAACAATTTAGCTTATTACTCCAATTCATACTTAATTCTGTGGAATTTTGTACATCTACACTCTACAGACAATCAGCAATTTCGCGTAATTTGCAAGTCATGAAATCCTCACTTGCATAATAATACGAAGATCGAATTTACCTTCCCATTATTGCACATATAATTCATCAGATGCATAATTAGTTAGACTGAAATGAAGACAAAATGCTCATTTCTCAGAGAAATATTACCAATATAGCACACTCCTTGGCTGTCGAGCTCGATCCGATAGGCCTGTCTGGGAGTGGTGCCGTCTCTGACGTAGAACTCGACCTGCTCTCCTGCAAGTCGGCCAGCGTAGTGGAACTCCTCAATGTTTCCCACCATGATCCTCTCCGCCTCCCGGATGAACTGTTCGAGCTGCAGCCTCATCCCCAGGGCGTAGTCCGCCTGTACCCGAGCTATCTCGAGAAAGCTGTTGTTTTCCTCCCACAACAGCTCTCCTCGAGTAGAAATGGAGGTGGTATGTCGGAAATGGAGCGTAATCGACCATGGCGCGACTAGAGTGTGCGAGGAGAGTGACGAGAGCGAAGAGTCACGTACACCGACTTTGAATATTACGCTCGCAATCAATCAGCTTATATACTACATTTAGACTTCGTTTTATGGTTTGGGTTGTCTTCGTTTGGGTCATTTTATTCTTTTTTGATGAACCTACTTTTTGGCCCAATTCATGAGTTTAGTTTGTTTGTTTTTCTTTTTTTACTTTTTGGCCCAACAAATAAGAATTGTCAAATGGTTTTTTTTTTTTTTTTATAATGCTTGTAGCATTGAAGCTGTAAAGGCTTCTTTGAGTAGTTTACCGAACTTACTTCGTAGTTTGTATTTTTAATTATCGTACAATAAGCTTATGTCAAAAAAACGAATATGCATAGTATGGAGATTTGGAAATAGATCACTCGTAATTATATTAACATTGAGTTGTAAAGCACATTAATACATACATAAAACATCACTCCTAATTAGTACGGGACAAGGACTTTATCCTCTTGAACAACCATGTCTTTTCAGTCCTAATTTATTTGAACCTTGTTCACGTCATGGAAAAAGGTCGTAAGAGTATCTAGACCCTAAACTTGTTCCAAAGGAACTATCATACGAGTCTTCGAGATCACTGTTATATTCACTATAACTTTTACACCATTAACATCCAATTCTTTATCTCCATGAAAAATCATGCTCATAAATGGTTTGAAGTAATATCACTCTTTGAACCTTGAAAAGTATAGCTTTTAAGGTTTCGATTATGAACTATATCCTAAAATTGGGAAGGGAGCTCTAACAAGTGCCATATCTAGGATTTACATATAGGATATGCATAAAATTAATCACCCAAATCCAAATTTCATTAGGCTATTTTAGTTAATATGAGATCGATTAAAAATATAACAAAGGAAATAACATAGATTGGAATGTTTAAATCAAAGATGTATCTAGGTTCGAACAATAGACTACACTACCTGCCACTGAGTAAGATTCAATAACTAGCTTAAAAGCACTAATTTCTTTGCCTAAAGTCTGCTTTATCAAAGTTTAAATAAAAATTTAGGGCTATGCACTTGCATACCCATTGTGTGAGTTGTATCCGCCCTTTGCTCTAACCACTTGAGTTATCCTTCACTGTCAATTAATGTTGTCTTTTCATAAGATGTAATTTGCTGATAGCTTTCTTTATATATATACAATTATTAACTAGCATAACTACACGATTTCCCCATTTTTAATACATAATTGTATACATTACACGAAAAACTAATTACTAATTAACATTAATTTATGATAAAAAATAATAAAATCAGTCTTAATAACTTGATGTCTTATACATTACGTGGTTCTTAGTGACCTTAAATTAGCTTTGAGTCGTTGATTCCTACCATAACAAGTCAACAATAAGGATTAACAACAAACATTTTACAACCCATTCAATAAATATTTTCTTAATTGAGTTTAAGTAGTAATTAATAGAGAGAAACATTTAAAGACCAATTCCCTAAGATAATGACACATACGAAATGACATTTTATCAAACAATGACATTTATAGTACATGTATAAACAATTTGCCTTCAAAGTTACTATTCTTTAGAAGGCACCAAATGCATAAGAGTTTTGTTGCACATTTTTTTACCACTTTTGTCCTTTTTTTACCAATAAATAACTAAATTCTCCTACCCAAAGAGTAAAGTGCAATTTGCCAAATTGTATAAATGAATAATGAATGATGGCCCTCAAATAAAAAACTATAGTATATAAATAAATAATTAATTAAATGGATAATAAAAGTGATTCTTATCCTCATAAAGTCATTCACATCTTCATTTTCCAAAGTTTAAATCTTCCTTTTAATTTGTTTTTTCTTAAATTTAATAATTTTCATATAATAATGCTACATAACAGCCTGTCAACACCGTGGCATTTCAATTTCGTATATTCTTTCTTTATCATTCTGTCACGTAAAATGACCAAAATACCCTTAAACACCATTTACACTAATGAGCCGGATGAGGGTATTTTCGTCATTTCAGCACTTCACCCCAAGCAACCCATGTTCAGTCCAAAAAAGTAGACCGTTAAACTTCCCAAATTACCCCTAAAGCTAATGCTACAACTCCAATACTCCCAAGGGTAAAAATGTCTTTCTCACAGCACAAAATTGCTGTCGGGTACTTTTTGGGTTTTTTATATTTTTATTTTTATTTTTTCACAATAAAAAAATTACAAAAAAATAAAAAGTAATATATCGATAAATAAAAAGAAATAAATTACACGAACGTGACTGATCCCCGCGCTCCACGAAAGGTGGCTAATTAGGAGAGAGAATAAAGTATTTTTCTAGAGAGAGAATAAAACCAAACTTCTAGAGAGAGAAAGTGTTCGTTGGGAGAGACGTTATCGGATTTCAAACGTCTTTCTTCTTCAACTCGCCGGTGAATTGGATTTTCCACTTTCAAGTCCGGCGTTTTTTGGGGGTTTTATTGTCTTATCCTTTGTTTTTTCCGTCTGATTTCGAAATTTTAGGGTTAGGGTTAGGGTTTTTGGTTGGTTTTCAAGATACTCAGATCTTGATTTGCTTTAATCAAAATTCTTCATCTTTTTTGATGAAGTTGAGTTACTGGGTTGATTTCTGCTGCTGTATATCGGTTGAATTGTAGTTTGAAGCAATGTTTACACCCCAGAAGAAGGTTTTTTCGGGTTGGTCTTTGTCGCCGAGGAGAGAGAATCAGAATACTCCAGTGCCGAATTCGAATTCTAGCGCGCCAATTTCTGAAAATGGAGGTGCGATTGTTGTTAGGGATGGAGACGATCTCGAAGATTTGGATGAAAGAACTGCCAAGCTTGAAAATGAGGTGGGGTTTTTTTTGTAAATTGGCTCTGTTATATCTTAATTACTTAATTTCCCTGTTTTTTTTTCCCCTGAATTATGAGTTTTTGCTCACCTGGGTTTGCTCTGTTTTTACTTTATTTTTGTGGGTCTTACTTTTTCTTCATGAAATTTTGTGCTCTGATTTGTAGTTTTGTTCAACGATGTAAGTATTCCGTATTGTTTGCAGTATATTATTAATGAATAATGAATGTTGGGTCTACTTGAGTAAGGTTTAAAATTACTAGTTGTTTTTTTGCCGTATTTTAATTGGAATTTACCACCCAAAAAAAAGAAGAAGCTTGAAGCTGTGTATGTTGTCAGTGAAGTGTTGGGTGTAGTGGATGTGAGGTGCATTGGGTTATTTGCTTCTTCGGTTGTACCAAAATGTCGATTGACCTTCAATTGGTGGGTATGATGAATATAAGGTGTTGTGACTTGTGGGTTTTTTCGGCGAAAATTCAGGAACTTTGGATATTATAATTATACCTAAAAACTACTTTGTCTTAGGGACAGTGATAATGGCCCATTTTTAGGAGCTTAAGATCCTATTGTAGCCCCATAATGCCTTGTTTAGTTGTTTTAATGGACTATAATTGGATTTATAAAGCTGGTTTGCTGCTTGAATTGATGGTCATTGATTTAGAGAGCAGCTAGTTTAGGGGTAGATTCCTGTCATCATTTATTCGTGTAAGCCTATCTTCATTTTTGGACGCTCATTTTTCTCGTCTGTTATCTTCTTCTCCCGTCTCATTTTCTCTAGAAGAACCAATATAGTCCGAATTCCACTTCCCCATGGAACAAGGAAAATCCTCCTGAATGAGCCCGATTAGTTTCTTGTTTTGAAAAACCCCTGTCTTGGCTACAGAAAGTAAAGGTTTCCAGGATCAGTTGAACTTTGTCATTCAATATACTACGAATAGTCATATTCTGCAAAGTTGGTTGTTGGGAGAAAATTCAGGGGAGTATAGTTAACACTATCTGCCTGGCTTGTTATTAGCAAAGTATTTTGGCTCGCTTGTTATTTTATGTGAAGTTGTCTAAAATCTGGTTGTTAGTTCTGTGTGGCAACACTTATGCCATGCATGCTAAGTTCTGTGTAGAGGTTTTGTCTGCATGTTTTTGATCATGTGCTTGATTCTTACAGTTATTTGAATACCAATACAATATGGGACTTCTCTTGATTGAGAAGAAGGAATGGAGTTCTAAGTTTGAAGATCTCCAGCATGCATTATCTGAGCAGAAGGATGCACTTAAACGAGAGCAGGCAGCTCATCTGATTGCAATATCTGATCTTGAGAAGAGGGAGGAAGATCTAAGGAAGGCATTGGGTGTGGAGAAACAGTGTGTTAAAGATGTAAGATTTGCACTCAATTACTCCTTTCTTGAGATTTGCACTCAATTACTCCTTTACTCATTTTACCCTTCGAAGATGAGCTTATGCATTGATTGTTCGTTTGTATTTCAGAAATCAATTTGCTTTCTGCCTTTTGTGCTAAATTTGCTCTATTGTTCATTTAGTTTAAACTTGCATTGTGAATTATCAATTGGAGCTTTAATGGCATATATCAAACTAGTCATTCTTCAGATTTGTGTGCGTGCTTCTGAGTTTGCAGTCCCACCTTATGACTCCTGTAATTTCTTTGGTGTTAGTGGCTGCGTTTTTACGACTCTCTTATTGTCAGTCTGTCATAGACAAACACATTCAGATTTCAGACATTTGGTGGCCGTCTTGTATTATTGTTGGCTAAAATTGTCAATTGTTGGTTGTTGTAGCTGGAGAAGGCCTTGCGGGAGATGCGGTCAGAATATGCTGCAATTAAATTTACAGCTGATTCAAAATTGACCGAAGCTAATTCTCTGGCAGCTAACATTGAAGAGAAATCTTTAGAAGTTGAAGCAAAATTGCGTGCGGCTGACGTTAAGTATGCAGAGGCAAGCAGAAAGAGCTCTGAAATAGAGAGAAAATTGCAAGATTTAGAAAGTCGAGAAAGTGCTCTTCGAAGGGAGCGATTGTCTTTTAACTCAGAGTATGTGATAGACTCGTGTTATATCTCTTATATAAACGACTATGCTAATGTTTTGTGCTCAATATAACCTAACTAATCTATTGTTGTTCTTTTTAATAGGAAAGATGCACATGATGCTACTTTGTCTAAACAAAGAGAAGACTTGCTAGAATGGGAGAGGAAGTTACAAGAAGGAGAAGAGAGATTATGTGAGGCTCGGAGAATCCTTAATCAAAGGGAAGAGAGAGCCAATGAAATTTATAAGGGCTGCAAGCAGAAAGAGCTAGAACTGGTAGAGGTACAAAAGAAGATAGATAAAGCTAATATGGATTTGAAGAAGAAAGAGGAGGATATAAGCCAGAGGCTATCCAGCTTGACTGTAAAAGAGAAGGTGAATTTTCTAAATAAACTTGCCTATCTAAATTTTAGTTTGTAGATCTGATCGTTTTTGAGCTTGCAGGAAATTGATGCTATGAAATTGAGAATTGAAGGAAAAGAGAAAGAGTTATCTGCTCGGGAAGAACAACTTAATGAGAGAGAAAAGGTGAATTTTCAATTATTTGGTGATATATTCGTGTCCGAACGTTAGTGCCTTTTTATGCCAGATTCATTTGTAACTGCTTAATCAGTAGTGAGTCTGTATTTGTATAAATAAGCTGTTAAATTGTTGTAGCATTGACTTCTAACTTGATGTTTTTCTCACCTCCTGCAGAATGAGCTCCAAAGTCTTCTTGATGAGCACAACGCTCAATTAGATGCTAAGAAGCAGGAGTTTGAGTTTGAGATGGATAAGAAGAGGAGATCCGTTGATGAAGAATTGAAAGGTAAGGTCATTGAATTAGAGAAAAAGGAAGCTGATATCAGTCATGCGGAAGAAAAAATCGCAAAGCGTGAACAGGCTCTGGACAAGAAATTGGAGAAGTGTAAGGAGAAAGAGAATGACTTAGAATCAAAAACCAAAGCATTGAAGGAAAAAGAAAAGATTGCAAGGGAAGAGAATAAACAATTAGAGAAGGAAAAGAAGCAGATACTGATAGACTCTGAAAACTTACTTAAGCTCAAGGAAGAACTGGAAAATATCAAAGCTGCCAATGAGAAACAGCTGTTAAGGATACAACAAGAGAAGGAAGAGCTTAGAGTGACTGAAGAAGAGAAATCAGAGCATTTGCGTCTCCAGTCTGAATTAAAGCGAGAGATAGATGAATGCAGATCACAGAAGGAAGTACTTTTGAAAGAAGCTGCTGAGTTGAAACAGGAAAGGATGGCATTTGAGCAAGATTGGGAATCTCTGGATGAGAAGAAGGCAGAAGTTGAACGGGAGCTGAAAAAGTTAACAGAAGAGAAAGAGAAATGGGAAAAATGGAGACATTTGGAAGAGGAAAGATTGAGGAACGAGAGTCTGGTTTCTCAGAAGAAGATGGAAAGTGAGCTTAAAGCTTTTGAATTGGAAAAGGGTTCATTTGCAGCTCACATGGAGTATCAGAAGTCACTGTTGTCAGAGAGAGAAGAGACCGAGAAGAGAAAGATGATTGATGATCTTGAACGGAAGAAAAGAGACCTTGAGATTGAAATGCGTAAGGTGATTGAAGAGAAGGAAATAAATCTTTCTGAAAGAGAGCGTTTGTTTGAGGAAGAAAGAGAAAAGGAGCAGAATAACTTAAATTACTTGCGGGAAATAGCTGAAAGGGGAATGGCAGACTTGAAAGAAGAGCAAAGGAGGATTTCAAAGCAAACAGAAGAAGTGGCTGCTAGTAAGAAAGACTTGGAAGGGCGTAGACTTGAAATTCAGAAGGATGTTGATGAGCTTTTTGCTCTTAGTAACAAATTAAAGGATCAGAGAGAGCAGCTTGTAAAGGAGAGGGAGAGGTTCATTTCATTTGTTCAGAGATTTAAGAGTTGTGAACAATGTGGTGAAGTAACCCGTGAATTTATGCTTTCTGATCTTCAATTTTTAAATGAAATGGAGAATAGGGAGATTTTTCCTCTGCCAAAGCTGGCTGAAGATTATATCCGAAACAGCTTTAAGGAGAATCTCCATTCACCTGAGTCCCCTGTTCGTGGAAATGTGGAGTCATTTACCCCAGGGAAAACTGTGTCTTGGTTGCGGAAATGCACACAGAAGATACTGAACTTATCACCTATCAAAAGAGAAGAACCAGCTGCAACGGATGGCTCTCCAGTAGACCAGGATGCTAATGCAGGACTTACTTCTGATAAACATGATAATGTTGAAGAAGTCCAAGAATTGTCATTTAGGATGGCAAGTGATTCATTAGATGTGCAGGCAGCAGTTGATGAGAATGTCAGGGAGGTAGAAGGTGATCAAGATCCTTCAGTTGGAGCGTGGGGTAATACTGACAGTGGTAAGGAGCCTGAACCTTTCCAGAACTCAGGTCAACACAGAGCTGGAAAGAGAGAAAGACTCAGAGTCAGGACACGCTCGGTGAAGGACGTAATTAAAGATGCTAAGGACATTGTTGGTGATTCAATTGATCGAAGTGTTAGTGAGCATCCAAACGGTGATGCTGAAGACTCTACTCATATGGATGGTGGGAGTCGGGAGGTTTCTAGTCTTGCAGACAAAGAAAATAGAAAAAAGGGAAGAAAACGCAGTCGTGCTCTCACTTCACAAGCTACCGCAAGTGAGCAGGATGATGGGGAAAGTGAAGGGCGTTCCAATAGTGTTGCGGCTGGAGGTCCCAGGACGAGGCGACAAAAAGTCTCTGCAGGTGTGCAAGCGCCTGCTGAAAGACGATATAATCTCCGGAGGCCAAAGAAGTAAGTATTATTATGAATTTTATTCTTTTTTCTTCTGTTTAATGTGATGTCAGGGGTTTTAACCTTTTATTCTGCCCCAACTATAAACGATCGAGACACATTTAAACAAATAATAAACAAGTGAGAAGGCAACTACAAAATGCTTGGCCTTATTAATGATGTATCTTATCCTTAATGCTGTAGTTCCTATGTTTAAGCTAACTTTCTATTCTTTGACTAATTTTTATTTTACCTGTCCATATATTCACAATTTTTTCCGAGTGAAGGAAATCTACGCCTCTTATCTCGTGGTGTATTGTGTATTTTGTGTGGTTTACTGATGAGTTTTTGGTGGTCAAGCGTTTGAACTAGATGTTTATGTGATGGAAACACTCTGCTAAATCTGCAAAACTAGTAAATTAATTCTTGCGTTTGATTTTTCCTTATTAATATTTTTTTTAACAAAAATGTTTTGGTATTTCCTTAAAAAAATTATGAATTGGTTTCAAGTCAGAGATGGTTTGTCAGTGTGATTATGCATCATGTCAAGGTTTGATTCTTACTTGGGGTTTATGTTGGTTATAGAGTTGCCACAGGTGCAGCTGTAAAAATAGCATCTGATGCAAGTAAAGGTAATGATGAAGAAGATGGACAAAGGGAGATTCTAGATGGAAATTCAAAACCTGGGCCCTCACATTCAGCCAGAGTCGCTAGTGAAGATGGTGCAACGAGTATAAACTTGATGGAGGTGAGGACTATTGTGTGCAATCTTGTATTGTTGCTTATTTTTAAGCAAATTCTTAAGTATAGACAAAGAATGTCTATTTTGTACCATCTTAGTGATTTTTTTTCATCACTGACAGGTTCAGGTTGAGGAGACAAACATATACACTACTCCCGTACCTAAAAGGAAGATCAAAAGCATTGTGCAGAGCAAAGAGGTAAATGGAACTCCTGATAGACATGGTGAGTATGGTGATGAAGATGGTAGTGTTGCGGAGGAAGAGGACGATGATGATGAAGAGGCTGAGCATCCAGGTGAAGCTTCAATAGGAAAGAAGCTGTGGAAATTCTTGACTACATGATGGCACATATAGAAGCATCAATTATCAGGCGATTCTGCGTTTGTTCTTCAATTTCGTCACCATTGATTATTATCCCCTTAATTCTTCCATTTGGGAATGTCCATGTACTTTTGTATTAGCATATTGAACCTAGAGTTGTGAGCCACGGAATCTCTATACAAAGTTTTAGGAAGAGTTCCGTTTAGTCTGTCTGGTGCTTTCTGGTAGGAGTAATGGGATGTCTTCTGTCTATTATTTACAGGAGCTTAGATGAGTGTAGTCGTGGGTCTGTGCGTTTTTTTACTCAGGACTTAGCTTACCACATTTTTTAGTGAATGTCAAATTTGTTTGTATCATTGGTTTGGAGATGATTGAAATCTTTTGCTCATTTTGTATTCTCTTAACTCTCCCTATGTGAAGACTCTTTTGCTCTAATCGTCGATACCTTGACACGTGTTCTATCATCTTTACCAGCTTGGCTATTCTAAGAGAAATTTATGAGTTAATAAGCTTTGGAGTTTGATGTTATTGAGTTTTAAGTAGGAAAAATTGTAAATTGAAAATTTTACGCATACAAGGATGTGCTGGTTAATTAATACAAGTACGAAGTAAAATCAATTACCATGATAACATGGCACTAAAATTTAAGCTAATGTAATAATAATCATAAAATTATTACTCCATTGTTGATTAATTCCCAAAATGTATAAAAAACAAAATCAATGAAGTTGACTTTAGTAATTGTGATTTATGGTATATAAATCAGAATAATACAGATTTGTGCTGTAACCCAAACAGCTTACCAAAGGCCACTTCTTCACCGCAGCTGACATTCTGATCTCATAATCATTTTCATTTGCTTGATTAGAGCAGCTATTGATCGTCGAAGAATCAAACATGGTGACCGGAGATATATTTGTCGCGGCATCTGTTCAACTACTTATTGAAAAACTGGCATCTGTAGGGGTGAGTCAGTTTGTTGTTGAGGGAGGGATAAAACAACTCAAAACAGGCTGCTTTCAAGAATGGGAGAAAATACTAAGGATGATCGAACCGCTGTTAAGTGAAGCTGAGCGGAAGGCAATGTCAAAATAAGCTTATCAAGGTATGGTTGGTAGATGTACAATACTTGGCTTACAATTTGGAGGATATTTTGGATGACTTTGTTACTCAAACTCGAGAACTTCATGAATTGAACAAGGATAATGGACGTAATATTCTTGGGTCAATTAGTAAAAAGGTGTATATTGATCTACCTCAGCTTTCTTCTTTCTTTCTTCCTTTCTTTTATCCTTTTCCATGATTTTGTTTTTATTTGCGAATTTTAATGGACGGATATACATGATGGAAAGAAAAAAAAAAAAAAAAAAGATAGGGGGATTTTCGAATTATGTAAATTATTTTGCTTGTTTAAGTGTTGTAAACAGAAGATGAGTACTACAGGAAAATAATGAATAGAATTTTTCTACTTGTAGTTAGGGGAGTTTAAACTATATCTAATATCCTCGTATTTATATAGATCAGATTCATTTGTATTCATATTAAATGAAATTTACTAATAATCATTTTAGTTGCTGAACTTCAGCCATTAATAAAAAAAGAAAGAGAACCTAAAATGGGGTGCAAAGAAATTAAGAAACAGACCATTCTCACAAAAGCTGATTTCAGCAGATTGGTACCTATTTCACTAACATGAGTAGTCGAGTAGGCTGTGTGTTCGTGTTCCTCACTACCTCGGTCATGTTAGCTCAAGTTTCTCGTTGAGATCCTTATTGATTTAAGGCAGCCTTAAACATCCTCTTGTTTACCACAGTTCTATGTACAAAGCCATCATAACTGTAGTCCTGTAGACTATGATCCAGGTTAATGGCATTTTATTATACTTCATACCTGTATGTTCTTTTATCATTATACTACATACTCGTATGTTCTTTTAACATATTTTCATGTACAAAGCCATTGTGTTAAATAACTCATGAAATTCTTTCTTTAGCAACTGATTATATATGCCTCACTTTTCTGTTTCTTTGATAAGTTGAAGAGCGTTTCAGCTGGTGACTCTAGAGACACACATTACTGAAGCACCAGAAGAAAGCAAGAGACACACATTCTTGAAAGGCAAAGTGACAGCCTATATAGCACGGAAATAGTTCAAGTTTTAGAAGTGGAAACATTTCAAAAACAGAAAAACCTCAAGTCCCAGCTACTTAAGGGCTTAATTAACACAAAATCTGTAGGGTATCGAAAATGGTGGTTTAGTTTTTGGAAACAAAGAAACCACAGGCCCCAAAAGCTTCCGTGCTTCTTATGTAAATGGCATTGAGGTTGATGGCAACACTAAAAAAGGTATGAAGTGGCGGCAGCCTCACAATTGCATGAAAGTCTGTGAGGTTGATTAACAGGATTGACAAAAACCTTGAAACTTTCTCATCTAGTTGTTTTAAGAATAGCAGAATGTCCTAAACTTCTCTCATTGCCAGAAGATCTAATTCTTCCTGCTATAAAAAAGCTTGTGATCGAAGACAATGCTAATTTTAGTGGCCTTCCCAATCAGATACAAAATTTTACCTCTCTAAAATATTTGAGCATTAAAAAGTGTCACAACATCCAGTCTTTTCCAGGAGGGAGTCTTCCTAGAATCCTAGGTCCCTTGAAGAACTTCACATTGAATACATGAGCATAAAACAGCCACTCGAGGAGTGGGGATTAGGCCTCCTCGATTCCCTCCAAGATCTTAGACTCCGCGATACAGGCTTCTCATCAGCTTTAGTGGAGTGCATACCCTGACCTGCCCCTGCCCTCTTGCCCCTGACCCGTCCCTGACCCTTTAAAAATTACAGGTGACCTGCAAATGACCCGCCCCATTACCGACCCGCACTGACCCGCCCCAAACCTCCCAATAACCAGGTCTACACACAGCTGAAGTATTGAACGGCTGTCTTCGTGTCCTAGTGAAGTCTATTAACAGCAAATTGAAGGAGTTTTAAGGTAATTGTTGGCTATACATACATTCTGCTCCCTTTTTTCTGGCTTTTTTTTGTATAACTCCCTGTATGATTTATGGATGTAAATTTTAATAATCAGAATATGAAAGGTGAAGAAAAAAGGTTGGCTGCCCAGTCTCTTATTGAGTTGCAGTCAGGAAGATTATTCGATATTCTTGGGTTGCTCTCTCCGCAACCTTATTCGATATGATTATTTTTATTTTATCCCTCTCTAGCCTGCTGCAGATTGTCAACATGGTTGCTTTTGAAGCAGGTTTTGTTGCAGTTGAAGGAAAAAGCTTTAATCAGAGCTGAAATGACTGAAGAAGAATTGTTTCGTCTGATTGAAGAAAGGCTCACAGCGAGGAAAACCAAGGATTATGATAAAAGTGACCTCATCAGAGATGAATTGTTTTCCAAGGGTATAAGCTTGATGGATATAACAGCTACAGATGTACCTATTAACAAGTTGTGGAAGCCATCTCGACTCGACCACCGGGACTAATTGAGTAAACCAAATTATACACTGTTTCTAACGCTAGCCTTAAAACATACTATGTTCTGGAATTTCAATTTATTTTGCCCATTTAAAACAAACTAGTTAGGGTATCTTGGTAGATTTTATGAATTAGTGCATTCTGTCTGAGTGCAGCTGTATTATTGAACTAAATAGGAAGTAGTTGAAGGATAGAAATATAATTCTAAAACTTGTGTCCGTTCATTAGTTCTCTTGAGCCATGGCTTGTATCTTGTTTTTGGCGCCTCATAATCTCATATAAACGGTCAATGTTTGACTGTTGCATTTCTTTTCTTTAAAAAGTGATTCAAGAGTCGTTACTTTCTTTGTTTCAAATATGGAAATTTCCTTTTAGTTGCACCAATTACTTTCTTTTTTGGGTAATGAGATGGAGGAGGAAGCAAGCTTATTAAAACTACTTTTTTTTTTAAGGAGGAAAGAGATACAGAGAAAACAGTAAAGGCACCCATGTGATGTGAGAGATACAGAGAGTTTATTAATCAAAAAGGAAAGTGATAGAGCTTAATTGAAACTTTCAAATTTAAAAAGTGATGCATAAAAAAAAAAAAGTTTCACCCGTCACCGCTATAGCCCAACTCTTTTCCCCTCACCACCCTTTTCTCTCCTCCCTAAGCTGCCATTAAAGGGGGTAGCAATGGCCACAAAGGTGATAGTTTATAGGGGTGGAGGATTTTTCGGATTTTCTCCAAAAAAAAAAAAAAAAAAAAAAAGTAAACAAGAATTAAAAAAATGACTTGTTGGACTTGGGCAAGTCAAAGGTCATTTGACCTAATTAAAGATAATACCTTATAAAAGTCAATTTATGTTTAGTTAATCAAAATATTGACTTTTTTTTGAGCTAATCGAACAAAGGTTAACGTATTCTTGACAAAAATACCAATAAATAATTTTTTGCACTTCTTTAGAGATACTCCGTACTCGATAATGCTTCATGGCAACGTCGAACAACTTGTGTATCTCCATGTCAACTAAACAAAATCCACCTCGAACTCGAAAACCGGGATACCTTTAAAAAATAAAAAGAGTAGTTAATTAGTTAATTCCAAATTTCAAAATAACTGGCAGTCAATCATCTTCTACATTCTACATTATGATATGGCTAAACTCCAACCACACACCAATTTCAGACCACCAATGACAACACCCATTAGAGCTCCAACTTGGTTCTCCACTAGAAGGCAACTCGAACTCCAAGTTTCTGAACTTCACAAATGCTCAAATTTATCACATTTGAAACAAATTCATGCTCAAATTTTCAAAGCTAATCTTCATAATGACCCTTTTATAGCACCTAAATTAATCTCTGCTTTCTCTCTCTGCCATCAATTAGGGTTAGCCATTAATGTATTCAATCAAGTTCGATATCCCAATGTTCATTTGTATAATTCTCTTATTAGAGCTCATACCCAGAATTCTCAATCTTGTCAAGCTTTCATGACTTTTCTTGATATGCTTAATAATGGCGTTTTACCTGATAATTTTACATACCCATTTCTTCTTAAGGCTTGTAGTGGACCCTGTTCATTGCAATTGGTTCAAATGGTTCATACCCAGATGATAAAATTAGGTTTTTTTGGTGATATTTTTGTACCCAATTCGTTGATTGATAGTTACTGTAAGTGTGGGGTGATTGGTGTTAGTTCTGCTAGGAAGTTGTTTATGTTCATGGAGGATAGAGATATTGTTTCTTGGAATTCAATGATCAGTGGGTTGGTTAAAGGGGGTGAATTGAAAGATGCTCGCCAACTGTTTGATGAAATGCCTGAGAGAGATTCTGTGAGTTGGAATATCATGTTAGATGGGTATGTTAAAACGAGGGACATGGATGCTGCGTTTAAACTGTTTGAAAGGATGCCTGAGAGAAATGTTGTATCTTGGTCTACCATGGTTTCGGGTTATACGAAAGCAGGGGATTTAGACATGGCTAGGTTACTCTTTGATAAGATGCCTGTCAAGAATTTGGTGTCATGGACAATTATAATTTCTGGGTATGCTGGAAAAGGATTCACAAAGGAGGCTATATCTTTGTATAATGAAATGGAAAGTTTAGGATTGAAATTCGATGATGGGACCATTATTAGTATCCTAGCTGCTTGTGCTGAGTCTGGTTTGCTGACACTTGGGAAAAGAGTTCGTTCCTCAATTGTGGCAACAGGTTTTAGATGTAGCGTCGCAGTGAATAATGCATTGATTGATATGTATGCCAAGTGCGGATGTGCAGAAAAAGCATTAGTTGTATTCCAGGGGATGTCTGAAAGAGATTTAGTTTCGTGGAACACCATTATCCAAGGTTTAGCTATGCATGGAGATGGAGTGACAGCACTCAAGCTTTACTCAAGGATGAAACAAAGTGGTTTTCGACCTGATAAATTCACTTTCATTGGTATCTTATGTGCTTGCACTCACATGGGTTATGTTGACAAGGGTCTTGATTATTTTTATTCTATGGAAAGGGATTATGAAATTGTCCCCCAAATAGAGCATTATGGCTGCTTGATTGATCTATTAGGTCGGGGTGGGCGTTTAAAGGAAGCTTTGGAGGTTGTGCAGAACATGCCAATGGAACCAAATGCCGTCATTTGGGGTACGCTCTTGGGAGCATGCCGGTTGCATTACCCTGTGGAAATTGCACAGGAGGTTTTGAAGCATTTGGTCAAAGTTGATCCAACAGAAGCTGGAAATTTTTCTATGTTGTCTAATATATATGCTGCTGCAGGGGATTGGGGTAATGTTGCAAATGTCAGACGAACTATGAAGAATATAGGAGTGCAAAAACCTTCTGGGGCTAGTACTCTTGACCTGGATGGTGAGGTTCATGAATTTACAGTCTTTGACAATTCTCACCCAAATTCAGAAGGTATATATCAGATGATCCATTTATTACGCCCACAACTTAAGGAATCTGGCTGTGCCCCGAGGACAAAATATGGTTAAATAACCATCTAGCCACTGGCTTCATAGTTGTTTGTACTATGGTGGTAGACTGGTAGGGTACCGTGCATGAGGTCGAAGTTTTGCTTAACTGTGGAGCAGATGATATACTGCTCTTATGGTGTTTTCCCATAATGGTGTTTCTGATAATGATCTGTTTTTCATCCCTCAAAGTAAAGGGATGGCTACCTTACTTCTGTACAGAAGTTAATTAATACAAGTATATAATTATGGTCTCCCAAGTTTCTGATGACAAGTAAATCTGGAAGTAATACTGGAGATGGGATGAAATTGTCACTTACATCCGTAGTATGTGCCTGTGTCGTGATCTAAGCACGTAGAATGGTCGATAGTTATTAATAGATGTACAGTCGTTTTTTCTCTCCACAACGGCCCCCTCTGTATCTATAGAACAATAACTTTGCCAGAAAGAGTAATAAAAAAGACTGATTACAGATTTACAGGGAAGTATGCTGTGCATCACACTAGCGTTCCAAGTACTCCGTCATTGAATATTGTACAGAGTAACTTTTTTGACATCAATGAGAACAAGGCTTACCATAAAGAACCTATTTTCACCCTATTTCAACACTTAGTTTGTCAAGATTAGACTAGAATTTCTTATTCCTGTAACTTTTTGACACTAATTACACATCTATAAAAATTACAAAAATTAGATATTTGAAAAATACACATTAACAAATTAACATGAATTTATAGTTGGATTAACTTAAGTACACTATATTAGACCAAATAATTCCCGATCAAACCATAGTACTCCGTAATATAAAACCATAAAATCTTCACATCTTATTCCAGATGATAACATATCCCAAGTCATCTAAAGATTACACAAAGGATCGATTGTGTAGGACTAGGTATTGATTTAAGAGCAAGTCAGTAAATGGAGGATATAAAAAAGATTATTTTCCTTTAAATCTAGGTTTAATGACTGGCAGATGTGAAGTTCTTATCAAAATTAACCATATTAATTAAAAAGTATTTATAAAATAGAAATAACCCCGTACATTTTATTTTAGTCCACAAAAATGCTGGAGCCTCACAAGAATAATAGCAAATAAGCAATCATATGAAATTTACTCAGAAAACCATGATATAGAACACAATAAATACTCCTTAATCTGAATCTTACAATTGTAGTTACCAAAATGCTAATCTTCTCTTAACCAAAAAGAATTTCTAAGCTAAAACAAAATCACTTCAAAAATTTAAGCTTGGGATTTTAATATAGCACCACAAAAGGGACTTGCTACACCAAGCATGGGGATAACACTAAAATCATAAATAATTTATTTATTTTTTTATTTTTTTTTTTTATTTTTTATCCTATACAAAGCTTCCCATCCTAGGATCAGGAATAATTTTCACCCCAAAATTCTCATTATTTCTGAATGACTATGTAAGTTTGATTCTGAAAGACTCCTGCTGCTATCTACCTGTACAATTGCCTCTCACTGAAAGAATCTACAACCAGTTTTCTGCTCTGACAACAAATCTAAGAAAGGTGCTGTACATGAGAAATTATAGTCAGCTTATAACACTGACTGGGAGACACGTTATGATTCAAGCATTTTTGCATGATTCTTCAAGTCCCTGAAACAGCAATCAAAATATTGTTTTACTTCAGACATGCTAGTTCAAGAGAAATTTATAACAAAGAACAACTGTAGTGAAACATACATGCATCTTGGGATCCTGCAACTCGGATCTTTACACCTTCGAGAATGCATCAACAGAATAAACCATGTCTTCTTACAATGCCGACACCCACCAGCTATTCGAATATTACATGCATGTGCATGGGAAAAGAGTCTCCTAAGAATCGAGCAATTTGGATAAGAACAGGGAAGATTCATTGTAGTGTGACACTGAGATGCATGCAGTAGAACATCAAGCAGCTGTTTGACCTGCATTGCCAGTTTGCAGAGTCAGCATATAGTTGGAAAGGAATGAAATGTACAAAAACTTGTTCCCAAGAGATTCATTACCAAATTCAGGTCCTATTGAAGATTGATCTATAACATGTATATTCAACAAGTATAACTTTACAGCACTACTTAAAACAAATGAAACCAACTAGCTGCCCATCTACTGGAAATATAGGACAAAAAATAATACAAGTGAGCACTTCTTACCAAACAATTAATCAACGTGTGATTGTGACAATTAGCACCATGTCTATCATAGCATGAGCTACAAACACTAAATTCAGGGCATGTCTCACACACCCATCTCTGATCAGCACCGGTCTCCTTGAGGCATAAAGTGCAGGAAGTCCCAGCAATAGACCCATTCGGATAGTGGAGATAATACAGAATCATCATAGAGGAGTGCTTTGCACGACGAAGTGAGTCAAACTGATAGTGATTTCCTTGACAGCAACTCAAAAGAGCATGTCTGTTTTCTAAAAAACAGTTGTCCATTATGGCATCATTGTCTTCTGTATCAGCTGGTACATCATTCACCACTTCCTGAAAGAAAAAAAAGTTATAACATTTACATAGTTGCCTAAAGATTTGATTTTCACTTCAGATGTACTGTTTCTAGTAAAACTCAATGTATAATTCTCTTCTTTCTTTAAAATTGGGTTGAATTGTTGGAAAGATAGTATTATGGGCCTATGGGGTAGGAGATGAACCAAAATGATACCTGAGAGAGAGCATGTCTCTGACCACCACTAGATATGTGTGTGTCTCCTGGTCCAACTAATTCAGTCACATCATGGCATCTGCTAATCAAAAATTAGTAAGGATAAGTAAGATGTACCACAGTTCTTATAACTTAAAGTCCAACAGAAAATAGGTAGCCCATTTTCTAACTCAATTAGCAAGTCAAAAAAGGGAGGGGTGTCCATGTCATAATCACAGCATGAAAATTCCATCTACATATTGCATATTTCGTCCAAACTTTGCGATAATTACCTTTCACATAGCTGGTAATTTTTGCACTGATTACAAAACCACCTTTGCCCTGATAATATGATTTCATGGCAATTCGTACAGACGGATTGCAAATACACAATAATAAAGTCTTCCTTTGCTGATGATATAATATGTCCGAGCTGTCACGAAATAGCAAACAAAACTCATTAAAGGACAGTAGAAGAAGCTGATGAACAACAATAAAAATTCATTTATCTAATAAGAGCATCAATTCAGTCCCTCAACACATCCTCAACCGCATAATTTCTGAAAATTACACATGAAATATTGTCATGCGGGAAAGAAAAGGAAGAACACAGGAAGAGATACCAATCTTATATGGTCACTGTCCTCACAAAATGACATAAATGTCACCCCTCACCAGTCACCACTAATTCAGAAAGCTACATTCACATAAAATTACAAATTTGAGAGAACAAACTTACTGCTTGCATCAGCAAGACATCTTTCACATCATTAGCCGAAGGGTTACTATGCCCAAAAGCTTTCACGCTCCTCCACTTCTTTTTAAGCTGCTTTTCAGGGTCTCCTCCGCTTTCTAAATCAATCTTCTTAATCATACTCTCAACAACACTAGACCAATAATCACCATCAAAGTAAGGCAACCTGGCTGCTGTAACTTTGGTCTTCCTTTCTCCGGTGGGCACAAAGAACTTCTCATATAAATTTGAGAAATTCACTACAATCTTCTCTTCTGTTGCTTTCTTTAGCATTGACTGATACCTGATTTGGTAAAAAAAATCAATTCAATAAGTACCCATAACCATGATCAAGGTAATTGAAAAAAAGAAATACCAGAAAAACAATAGTTAAATCAACCCAAAAACAGCAACACAAAGAATTGTATGAACATATAAGAATATAATGAAATTTAATGATAAAAAGATAATCATGAATTTTTTAAGTACAGGAAAAAAATGTACAAAAAAAAAGGTATACCATAGCCGCAGCTTGTCCGGTTTGGGGGTTTTTTGCGTCTCTGGATGACAGTATAGAATGTAGTCTTCTCCCTTCACAGGTGGACAAGCCCATATATAACAGGTGGCAAAGCCTCGTTTCTTACAATAATCAAGGTATCCAATCTAAGAAAAAGAAAAGACAATGCCAGACAATTATGAAGTTATCTCCAGTTATTATTCTCTTTAGATTGTAAAAAAAAGCAATAAGATTAGAAAGGGAAAAAAAAAAAATCAGGCGTAGAAATTATACCAAAATTTCATGATAAACAAAAGTTCGAAGAGCTTCTCCTTTTACAGTTTTTGTCTCAGGCCTAAAATACTTGACAGAATCAAGATACGATATATAGACGCATCTTTGATTTGGTAGGCTGCAGGCTGATCCAAACTCTTGGACATACATGGCAAAAAGGCACACATCTACACCTTCAATTCTTTGAAATAAAAGAATAACCTGGGATGGAAATATTATAAAAATCACACATGATATCAATAAATAACTCTCCTAGTAGAGAACTGAAAGAGCCACCTTAACACTTGAAACTCATTAAAAGCTCAGAATCATGACTGCACATACATAACATAAACAATCCTTCAAACTCAAAATTATTTTCAGAGCTAACAATAATTTCCAAAAGTAGTATCCACCTGAAGAAAGTTCACTCGTCACTCCAATAAAACAGAAATTCAGATGCAATTTAGCTTACTTTTGATCTGTAAGGAAACTCTGCAGGGTAACCATTTTCTGGAAATATGTCCAAAAATTGTTGCTTCACTTTCAGTCTTTTGTCAACAGATGATACCACCCTTACAGCAAGATCAGCAGGACATGGTACCTATCATATAAATTACAGAAGTTGACAGTTAATTTTAAATATAAACATATATATAACGAGTAGAACACATGAACAAAAGACAGAAATCCATCACATATACAACCAGCACACTTATCTTATCATACACGAAGCCTAATATCTTACCTCTTCAGGATTCTTTCCTGCAGCTTTTGCCCTGTTTTCTCTCTCTTGCTTAAGACGTCCAAAGAGTCGTTGCTCAAGATGATCACTAAGCAAAGTTTGAGGAAGGTGATGTGCATCCAAAGAAGAAGAACGTGGCAAAGGCATTAGCCCCCCAAATTCTAGGTCTTCTAAGTAGCACTTTGGACAAAGATACTCTGATTCACCTCCTAAGTCTTTTTTATCATTAAAGAGGGCACATATCTGGTGTTGCCATCCTTCACATCTATCACATTGAACCCACTACAAGATCAAAGCCATATGCATGAGTTGCAATAATAAACTACAAAAAATAACAACAACAACATAAAAAAAAAAAAAAAAAAAAAGAAAAAGTTAACATAATAAAGCAGTATATCTCACCGATTCCACAGTCACCAAATCATTCTTTAGGGTCTTGAGATTGGACTTAGATATAGACAACCCATATAATGTAAAAGTACCACGGTGACACTTGTTATAGCATGTGGTGCAAAAGCATAATTGATCAGAGGTTTTATCGATAGTGGCGTAATATGTTGCATGGTTCTTTATACGTGCCCCGCAGAATAAACAATACAGCGGCATTGGTGAAAATGCAAGCTGAGGCAAGGCACATAGCTGGCAGAAGTTTTCACTGAGTGAACAGCTTGCTCCATTTTCAGCCATTTTTCCAGCTATGCCCTACAAAATAAGTACATCATCAGCTGGCAAAGTCATAATTGAACGGTCAAGAGAAGAAAAAACCTTGAAGAGGTAACAACAATATAAAGAGAAAGGAGGAAAGTTAAATGACATCAAATTTTATGGGGATAGGATTCCTATTGTATATTTAACTCCAATACTCATCCAGTCCAAAAAAAGAGGAATCAGAATTGTATGGAAAGAACCATACACTGCAGCATGATTATTAATGTCCATGAAATTAAAAACTTCAATATTATGGGAAACGGATCAGAATAGAATGTTTAGCACTCCAATCATCAGTCATACATATGAGCATCTTTATCCTACGTAAGAATTTCAAGATATATTACAGAATCATTAGAAACAGTCTAGAACATCACAGAATTTTAAAAATGGTTCCAACATGGGATGACAAAAACCTTTGTTGAAATAACATGAATCAAAAGCTTTTCAATCCATATTGTAATAGGCTAATAGCCGAGCCTGGAGGAGCATTACAAACAAATTAGTCCAAAGATTAAGGACTATAATTGCCGATTACTGTGCTACACCTAATACATCGAAAACAGATGATGATGATGATGATGATAATAATAATAATAATAATAATAATAATAATAATAATATAATAATAATAATAATAATAATAATAATTACCATCAATTAAATAACACCAGAAAAACCTCTTGAAGGTATAAGAAATTTGCCCATACGATACATTTTTTTTTACCAAAAAGGTTTTCACTGATAGAGACAGCCTGGATTACAGCTATAATGACTGCTTTGGTAATATATTTAATGAAAAAGGGGAATAACCTGTTCATCTCTCTGCTTGAGACTAGACAAATGTCGTTTGATTTCCTCAGGCGTGAAAAAAGTCAATTAAACTGATGCCATCCAACTTTTGTTTTTCTGACCTCATCCGAGTCCTGGAACCAGCTATCTGATGAATTTCTTCTGAATCACTCTGCGGTATAAACTCTACCTTTTGAGCAATAGACTTGTCTTCAAACAGGTTTGGAACATAATCAGATGGCAAATCACAACCAGGGTCAGAAACTGTATCTTTGAGTTCATTGACTACAGGTTCAATCTCCTTCTGACAGGAATCAGCAGATGGATCATGGGCAAAATTGGTAGCATCATCAGAGTTACTTCCACAAGTATCATACAAGGCAATGGCGTCATTGCCTTGTTGACTAATTCTTGCAGCATCATCAATATGACAAGAGACACTTTCAACCTTCTGCAAACAATCAGAAGACGGGCCTTCAGAAGGAATGATAGCATCCCCAGATTTAAATCCCTTCATCCGAGTCCTGGAACCAGCTATCTGATGAATTTCTTCTGAATCACTCCGCGGTATAAACTCTACCTTTTGAGCAATAGACTTGTCTTCAAACAGGTTTGGAACATAATCAGATGGCAAATCACAACCAGGATCAGAAACTGTATCTTTGAGTTCATTGACTACAGGTTCAATCTCCTTCTGGCAGAAAAAAGCAGATGGATCATCGGCAAAATTGGTAGCATCATCAGAGTTACTTCCACGAGTATCACACAAGGCAATGACACCATTGCCTTGTAGACTAATTCTTGCAGCATCATCAATATGACAAGAGACTCTTTCAACCTTCTGCGAACAATCAGAAGATGGGCCTTCAGAAGGAGTGATAGCATCCCCAGATTTAAATCCCATAGCATCGTCCAGATGACTGTTGTCAGATTCACTAATTCTTAAAACATCATCAGTATGACTAGTGGTAATATCAACATTTTCCCCTGGGTTAAAGGGAGTAGCCATTATTGGGGATTTAGACAGTTGCTCAAAGTTCAAAGGTCCTGAAGGACTGAATGGCTCCTCACTTAACGCAGAAACATCACATGGTGAATCACGTCTAGGAGACGAATCCAACTTCCTTAATTTTGTAGAGTATATGAAGTCTTCAGAAGTGTTAGCACGGACTATCTTGCCAGAATCATTACCATGTGTCGACCTAACAAAGCCATTTCCTTGATTTCTTAATCCAGGTTGCATAAAACCCTTTGCAGCAGATCCACAAGTATCGCAGTCAGCAGAGCCACAATTGTCATAATGTGTAAGCAACCCCCTATATGTCTCACATTCACAGCCATATTTGCACTTCATTGAATGTATGTATTCCAAAAAGGGAACTATATGCCCATCTTTTTTGTAATTCATATAACTGTACAGGATTTTGAGATTCTCCGTCTGCTTAGAAAGCTGCTGTGTATCTCTAGGGGTTGATGTGGCACACAGAGAGGTATACAAATTTCTATTTTGCACTGGTAAGCTTCCTACAGTAATCTCCTCAAAGAGTCCATCACAATGTAAGAGCTGTTGATTAAACTGCAGGGGTCCCAGAACTGGCTGTCGCATATGCAAATCATCAGAGGCAGTGGACACTTCGAATTTCAAGTTCTCCCTCACCGTAGCAGGTGAATGCAAAGAAGGATCATTCTGGTCACTAAAGATGTTGAAATTTGTTTCACCTTATAAACCAAAGAGACAAGTCAGACAAAGAAAAACCGATTTCATTATCGTAACATACAAAGGAACAGAGTTCTTCCCATAGTTTCTATGCTCATTATCTTATCCTTAATGAAGCACGAGAGCAAGATCAAATCACAACTTGGAAAAGAGTAAAACTAAATAAAACCCTATGACAAGAATCGTCTAGAAAAAACACTCAGCATGGTGGTAAGAATAAAAATACCACCGTGCTGAAAGATTTCAAAATCGCCTCAAACAATAAAATATCAATGCAACCAAAAATTGAAGATGTTGAGTTCAGTCTATCAACATATCTAGCTAAAGAACACTGATGCTAAATTACTTTTAAACAAAAATATACAAACCAAAAGCCAAACAACTCATCACTTTCTTCGTAGTACAACAAAGTGACTACTTCAACAAGAGAGAGCGAGAACAATTAAGAAAGCTGCTATGGGTAGTGAAGACAACAACCAAAATGAAAAGCCCCATTATAAAAGATTGCAAGCGACAGAGAGGATTATTTACAGCTACTTAGGTAGATACGTAAAAATTAAAATAATAATAATAAATAAATAAAAGAGAGAGAGAAAAAAAAAAGGAAGCACACCTTTGGCAGAGTTTTGGTATTGGTTGCAATGACTCTCGAAGGATGCCTCAGAATCATACTGCAATCCACTTCCAGAATAGGTAATTTCACTATCACCAGAATCAGCATTAAAAAATCCCATCCCAGAAGAATAATTATTAGGTAGCACCAGCTCAGGTTGCCACACATTGGCGTCCAATATACATTTTTGTGATCCTGCAAAAACACATGCCCAACACTAAGTCATGAAAGAAAACCAAAATGATAAATTAATATTTATTATTATTTTTTTTAATCTATACAACAAATAGATTCATTACCATATATACTACTCCTGGGTACATCAGCTAAAAGTTTTGGTGCATGATCCAACTTACAGCAAGCATCATCACTAACATAATGATCACAGTGTGGCTTATCAAACTTAGTGCAAAAAATACTTTTCGTTGCAAGGGTTGAAGCAGAAACATTTTTTGGTAGCGATGTAGTGGCATGCATTGCTTCATGCTGAGTGAAATCCCAACTCCATTTAATTACCTTCATAAGGCGATCAAGAAAATTCTGTTGATCCAGGTAGTCATTCTGAAACAAAAAAATGTTAACTCTTAATAAACTACAATGGAAGGGAAAAAATCAATACATTTTCACTAAAAGACAGGCATTCTGATTTAATCCATTAAAACCAATTTCCAAATGCACTAAAATTCTCATATCAATACGTAAGGACACTTTTGGGCAAGAAAAATAAAGCACATCCTCAGTTCACAATGCAAAGATGATTAAATCTCACGAAAAAAAAGTAGTGCAAATACTACCATACTAGTCAATCAATACAGTAAACTCAAGAGTTAATTGAAAGTTGAAGAAAATAAAAAAATAAAAAAAGAAAATAGAAGAATAAAGACAGAAAACCTCGGAAAGAGCATCCATGAAGATTTGATTTTCCAGGCTGGCAGCAAGCAAAGGGATTCGCAACGCATACTGCTGAAATGCATATTGGGCAAGAAACACCTGGCTTTACAAATTTAAAAAAAAAAAATCAATACAAGAAAATTTTGACAGCCCTGATTAAAGGGAAAGGTAAAGCTCTCAAAATGATTAAATTATTCCAAATACGCCGTATATACTGTATGTGATAATTCAAGTTTTACGATCAATTACCTCAATGCTAAAAACTACTTGTATGACCCATTTGGTAGGCGTTAATAAATAGCGGTAATGGGAATAGGATTACGTGTAATTTGGCCAGCAAGATTTATCCTAATCTCCATAGTAATGTAATAACATATCCAAACTTGTGTTTTACTTCATAAATGTCCAATACCATCCTTAAATGGTAATGGAAATTTGTGAAGAACAATATAATATGTGGTGGTCTATCATTACCATGAGAGTGGACATTGATTCATTCCCATTACCACCATTTATTACCATTTACCAAATATCACTCTATACACAATGATTCGAGTTCAGCAATCAATTACCTCAAAGCTAACATTTAGTTAATCCTAAAAACAACAGATTACCCACGATGATTCGAGTTTGGCAATCAATTACCTGACGCTAACATTTGGTTAAGATTCCTTAAACAAATCACCCCACTAGAACACTGAAGATAGTACCACCCCATCTCCAAATAAAAGCATATCTTCAAAAGGAAAATTTCCCGCCCAAATCCCAGAAACATGCCATCTAACAACTTAACATAAAAACAACCCCTTTACAAAAAATAATTAATAGTGTAATTCAATCACTTTCATTAATTCAGAATATAAAAAAAGACCCAGTTGATCTCCAATGTGCTTATATATAATCATATCATAACTATGATCTTAAATGAAATTCAACAATTATAATAATACCTAAATTGGAGTTAAAATTATAGCAAAGAATTGGTATGGGGAAAAAAAAAAAAAAAAAAAAAAAAGGGGGGGGGGGGGGGGAAACATCACCGACATTCTGTTTCTAACGAGTTCGCGATATGAAGCAATATTCGGATTGTTGCGCCAATTGAATTGGGGATCCGATTCGGGCCGACGAAACCCTAATTTTCCGTCTTCCGACAAATTGAAAGCGGGAGAAAAGTGAATTCTCGCCATGATCACATAACGCGAACCACAGCGAAATATCAAATTGGGATAAAATTTTCAATTCATGAAAGAATTAAGAAAAGCGATAAGAAATTAAAATCAAGAAAAAAAACTTGAAATCTAAGTTTTGAGGAATTGGGGGAAATTCTAGGGCAAATAGATATTGCACCAAATAAGACCGCCAAATCTTAAGTTCTACTTGTACAAGACTACAAGTACTTGTAGACTTATAGTACTAAGTATTTTTTATTTTTTAATTTTTATTTTAAAGGTAAGGAAATTAACATTAAGAAGCCTTCCTCACAAGTCACGAGGGAAATTTCTAATTTATTAGAAAAAAAACAAAAAGAATGAGGAATAGGCTAGAACTATTACAAACATCAATATCTATATTATCAAACACTGAATAACCTGTTTCGGGGTTTTTTGATGTGTCCTGCGGGAGAGTTACAATTACAAGAATGCCCTTCGACCGCCTGTACCTGCAAAACCACGAAGACTCCGGTTGGGTGCAGCTCCGCCTCCGACGATCAAGTCAGTGATGTACGGGAGGAAGAAAGTGCGTAAAGCGTAAAATTACTTCTCGCGTAATGGGAGAATTCCGCAATTAAGATTGCTCGGTTTTAGTGTAAATGTATTTATGATTGTATTGAATACAATTAGAGGGAAATTAAATGCCCCATTAATGAAGATTCTCCCACTATTTATAGTGGGGAGCATTGGTTCCCCATTTAGGGTTCCTAGGACACGTGTCAGCAGGGGATTGGAGCCCTGCTGACCAATGGCAAGGTGCCACGTGTCGCTCAGCCATTGGGCCACGTGTCTGGGGTAATTTTACCCCAAACATTTGCCCCCCTCAGGTGCTGACGTGGCAAGGTGCCACGTGGCACCTGAGAAGAGAGCTGACGGAAAATATTATATTATTTTATTTTATTTTATTTTTTTTTAAACCCCTTCAAATTCTAACTGAAGGAAGAGGGAAAAGCAGAAGGGGAAGGGTCGCGCCCCTTCGCCTTCCGGGACAAACCCTATAAATAGGGGAGGAAGCACACGAAGCCTCATTTACAAACTTCGTGAAATTTCTTGAATTTTGAGAGCATCCGGCATTTCAAAGCATCCGGTACTTGAAATTCAGAGCACACGGAGACTTCATAGTTTTAAGAGCAGCCGGTTTTCAGACCGCCTGTGCAATAGCAAGAAAGCAAAAGATTTTTGAGAGGGTACCTCAGAGAACCCAGCCGGTATTCAAACCGCCTGTGTCTTCGCAAGCATCCCCAAGAAATTTCTTGTTTTCAACACTTTACTCTAGGTACCGTCTCTATTCTTTCTTGCTTTTCCATGTATTTCCATTTGCGTCTTTTGCTTGCATTTTTGTTTATAAGTCCCCTAGGTAGATGGACCCTTTATACCCATACCCGGACCATAGTTGTGAACTCAGCCGGTCAATTAATACGACTGAGTCTAGAACTGGATCTGCCGCCTCTAATCTTTGGGATTTCCCCTTTTCAACGCCTGTATCGACCGACTCCGTGTCTGTGCAGGACACCATGGCCAGAATTAGGGGAACAGCTATGGACCCCAATTACAGAGGCGGGGACTCGAACGAGTTATCGCCTGAAACTCGAGGCCCAGACGGGGAAGTTAGAGAACCATCCGGCGGTACCCCCGCCACCCCAAGCGATAACATTCTAGGCTCCTACAACGAGGAGACCTCTCCGGCTGAGGAGGCTGAGCAGCCAGAAGCTGCCAATGATGCTCCCAACTCCCCAGCCGGCTCCGATGACGGTCGGGTTGAAAGCAGTAGCTCTAGCTACTTAACCGTATCAGAAGATAGCGAGGAGGCGGAGAGGCCTTCGTGGCAAAGCCGAAACGACCCTCTCATGATCGCCGTCTCCTTGAAGGACCGTGCCCTCATGCGGTCTTCTCTTCAGGACTTTATTACCAAGCGACCGCTTGGTGGAGGGTACAAGATAATCGTGTCGGGGGAGTTCGGGACGGTTGTATGGGAAGATGACCAGCCCAACGCTAACGGTTGGTTTGGATGCTATGAGGCGGCTTTCCTAGCCGGCGTCCGCTTCCCCCTTCACAACACGATCAAGGCCATACTTAGGGGGTATGGCTTAGGCGTTTGGCAACTCACCCCGAATTCTTGGGTGAATATATTAGGGTACATCGCCGCATGCGAGATGCAGGGTCTCAACCCCGGCTGGGAGGCTTTTGCCCATATGCACTACCTGAGCCAGAGCCCAGGCGGCTGGAGGGCCTGGTACACCCTGACCACTCACCCCCAATACATGATGACCTTGGACAAGCCGTCTAAATGGTCGGACTGGAAGAACCGGTTCTACCTGGTCAAGGCCCCGTCTGAGGAGGAAAACAGGGAGTACCGGACCTACAACCGGAAACCAGAGCTTATGGGGCAGAAGTGCCGGCTGCCCCCAGTTCCTGATAGTGATAGGAGGGCCATTCTGGACTCCGAATTTTTTGAATTGACCTCTACCTCTCTCTCAACCGGAGAGATAATAAGGGTACCCAAGAACTGGGTGCCCAAACACGAATTTTTCAAAGACGAGTGCTTCTTGTCCGCCTGTGGGCTTAGCAGCATGTTTAAAACCAAAGGTTACGAACCCTAGCCGGTTAATTTGATGCCGGCTGACCTGTTTCTCTTGATTGCAATGTAAGATTCATATATCTGATCGGATGTACTTTCGTTTTGCAGAAGAAGCCAAGAAGATGCTGCCCACCGCCAAGACACCCGCAAAAAAGGCTTCAGATATCCGAAAGGAGAATCTGGAGAAGAAACTTGCCGCTTAGGCGGCTAAGAAGGTTAGCCCGCCTGACCTTCTCTATATGCTTGGCTTTGATGTTGTTTTGGCTATTGATTCATCTAACCGCTTGTGGTCTTATTTCAGGATGGGGGTGTTATTCCCCGTTCCTTGCAAAAATAGATCCGGCAAAGGCCGTCTATTGAAGAACCGGCATTCAAGGTGCCGAGAACTGCTTCTACCGACCAGGCTACAACCGGTGGTAAAACAATAAAGACCCCAGGCGGGTCTAACACTGAGAAGGCCTTAGAGGCCACTCCAATAAGGACCGCAACCGGTCCATCTTCTTCTGGAAGCCAAAAGGCTTCCCAAAAAGGTACAAACCCTTTCGATCTGACATTGCTCGACATACCCATGCGGGTAAAATCGTACTCCTCTTCGCAGCCGGGAGATTCTCCGATCAGTCGGCTGTCCGTTGGTGGAGCGTACGCAGCATTCTCACCATCTGTTTCTGGTGCAGATAACTCACCACGCTGGCCGGACGCTGCTCAATACGCCCGGGCCATGCTGAAAGCCGTCCTTCGGGACAAGAAGGAGGCGATTCCTGGAATCAATACCTTCAATGCCGACCGGGTTATGGTCGACCTGGCCGATGTAAGTAACTGAGTGCCCACCCGGCATATAATTTGTAATATACCCATCCAGCCTTTCTACTAATACCGGTTGCGTTGTTGTTGCAGGCACTGCTCCGCGTGGAGGGGCGTAAGAAGGCCTACATCCGCAAATAGGAAGAGGTAAGAAGAGCCAAACGTTCTGCGGATGACGCACATAGCGTTGCTCACTATTCCATGATTGTGCATGACTTAGAAACTAAAGCTATAATCATGCAACAGGCGGATCAGGTCAAGTCCCTCCAACGGGCCCTCTCGGAGCAAAAACTCAAACTGGACAACCTCCAGGCAGCCCTGGAAAACGCTGAAGACGAGCTGAAAAAGCATGAAGAGCCCCTCAAGCGGCTCGACCAGGCGGAGAAGAGCAGCAAACGGCTGCAACTAGAGAATGATCGTCTGGTCAAGGAGGCTGCCGATGCTCAGCGTAATTTCCAGTCCACCCTAGAGGCTGATCAAAGTCGGCTCATCGAGGAGAATGAGCAGGACTGCCAAAATAGAATGAAGAGGGCGTTCTCCATCATCCACCCGGGTGTAGACTACAGCGTCTGGGAGCTCGCCTACAAGTATGCAGACCTGGCCATTCTGGCTGAAGAGGAGGGCCAGCCGGGGCCCGGACCGTATGAGCAATGGGTGGAAGCCGAGTTCCAACGAATGCAGGCGGAAGCGGCTGCTTTGGAGGCGACAGTCGAGGATGAGGTTGCTCCCGGCTCCGTCCCCAACACCGACCCAGCTCATTCGGAAGGGAGCCAGGCTCAGGGCGACCGGGTAACAGTGAATGTAGAGTAGCAACGACCTCCCGGCCTGCGCGCCGTGCATTATCTTGTAATAGCGCCGGAAGGGTCGGATTACTCTGCTATTGTTTTTTATTTTGAGCACTGATATTTTCACCGGCTGTGCCGGTTTTTCTTGTAAACAATTTTAACATTTTTACCGGCTTTGCCGGTTATTTCTGCAATATTTCAACCAGTTGGTCCAGTTTTGAATGAATTTGCTTCTTTTCCTTTTTGCTGTTTTGAATGTCTTGAATGTCGCATCTTTCTTGCTTTGATAATTTTCGCGAGGATAGCCAAGAAATCCCAGCCGGCATCACCGCCGTCTGTGTCTTTGCAAGCTAAGCAAAGAAATTTGTGAGGGTAGGCAAAGAAATTTGCGAGGGTAGACAAGAGAACCCATCCGGTATCACTGCTGTTTCGGGGTTTTCTGATGTCCTGCGGGAGAGTTACAATTCCGAGACTGGAACCGGACGCCTGTACCTGCAAAACAAACGGATGCTCCGGATGGTTGGAGATCCGCCTCCGACGGTCAAGTTAGTACTTGATTAAGGAGTAATTAATGCGGAAATTAAAGTGATTGGGTCTCTCTAGGTGAGAGTGTTTAATGTGTGTAATCTGCTTTTTAGCGTGTTCTGCATTTAATCTCCCTTAATGAGGATTAAGGGAGGTATTTATAACCTCGGGAAACGTGTCAATCTAGGTTTAGGTTAACCTTGGGCTGATTGGGCTTCCCTCGGAAGTTTGGCCTAGGTGACCGGTTATCCCAGGTGTCATGGGAAGGACACATGTCGTGTCGTAATTGGTCCATAGTGGACGGATCATTGCTTGACACGTGGCAGGCTCCTATTGGCCCATGTGACGGACACATGGCGGAACCTGATTGGTCCACTTGTCAGATGGTGATTGGTGGGGAAAAATCCCCTAATCATTTGCCCCTCACAGGTGGCACGTGACTGGTCACGTGTTACCTGTGACAGGCATCGCCCTGTAACAGGCGACAGCCTGCTACAGGTGTCACTCGGCGAGAGGCCGAGAGATTCTCCCGCCAAAATTTTGAATTCTGGAAGTGACCCTTCGCCTTCTCACTTCGCCTATATAAAGGAGTGTTGACTTCGGTCATTTTCACACTTGAAAACTTTGTGAGAGAACATTCGGACCCCTGAACTTGCTCTGACATTTTGGACCCTTTCTGCCTACCGCCTGTTTTAACAAGCCGACTGCAAAGGATTTTCAGAACTTCATCAATCG